CCTGCTTCGTTCTGAACTCCAAGGCCAAACTTCCCTGTTGCACCTTCTATCTCTTGGCTCCCTACTTCAGCATTCCGGTCCCCTAGAATGAGAAGAACATCTTTCTTTGGTGTCAGTTCTAGAAGGTGTTGTAAATCTTCATAAAATTTTTCAATTTCAGTCTCCTCAGCACTGTTGGTTGGTGCATAAACGTGGATTATTGTGATGTTGAAAGGCCTGCCTTGGATTCGTATTGACATCATTCTATCATTTTTGAGATTGTATCCCATTACAGCTTTTCCCACTCTTTTGTTGACTATGAAGGCTGCTCGATTCCTTCTACGGGATTCTTGCCCACAATAGTAGATATGATAATCATCTGAGCTGAATTCGCCCATTCCTGTCCATTTTAGTTCGCTGATGCCCAGGATATCGATGTTTATTCTTGCCATCTCCTGTTTGACCACTTCCAGCTTCCCAACGTTCATAGATCTTACATTCCAGGTCCCTATGCAGTATTTTTCTTTGTAGCATTGGACTTTCCTTTCACTTCCAGGCACGTCCACAGCTGAGCGTCCTTTCGGCTTTGGCACAACCACTTCATTAGCTCTGGAGCTACTTGCACTTGTCCTCTGCTCTTCCTCAGCAGCATTGGACGCCTTGCGACCTGAGGGGCCCATCTTCCAGCGTCATATCTTTTAGCCTTTTGTTTCTGATCATGGGGCGTTCTTGGCAAAGATACTGGAGTGGCATTGCCATTTCCTACTCCAGGTGGATTGCATTTAGTCGGAACTCTCCACTATGTCCTGTCCATCTTGGGTGTCCCTGCACGGCATAGCCCATAGCTTCTCTGAGTTACTCATGCCCCTTCGCCACGGCAAGGCAGCAATCCATGAAGGGGGCCAGGGGCATAGGAAGGGAAAAGAGAGCTATACTGAGAGACTGAGGAGGCAAAGGAAGAGGAGAAAAAGGAAAGGAGGTGAAGGAAGATGACTATCTTCTAGGATGGGGTTGGTTAGAAATGGAAGACCCCTGAACAGGAGTGTGTTAAAACGAAACTGCCCTAGAGAAAATAGAGACAGCAATATCGCAACGTGAGACCCGAGGGGAGTAAGATAGGAAAAGGGAGAAGAGCGGAAAAGGCAAAGAAGAGGATTGGCAGTCCAGCTGAGGCAATCAGAACTAGTGGAATGGATGGTATGTGTCTATCCCAAAAAGAAAGATCAAGGGAAGAAGGGAGCCAAACTGGTGGTGATGTCCCATCCAGAAATGGCCACGGAGGGAGAGTGGGCTTGGTACCTGTTGCAGTACCACAAGAAAACCCACAGAATGCAAACTGTTTGGAGTGAACACCCAATGGTGAACTCTCTTGTGATGCCCAGGTTAAGGGACTGTTATGTTGAATGGAGGGAAACTGAGGGAACCGTTGTTCCGACTGAAGTTTTTCTTCATGGTTCTCTGGTGTTTAAAAATAAAACTTTTATGAAGAAGGTCTGTCTCCACTTTTTGAGGAAATGAAAAAGGGAATGAGATTTTCCCAAAGTTGAACCCACTCACAAGGATACTGGTGTTCTTTAGGGGTCAATGAAGGGCAACTGCTTGCATGACAGAAGTTGTAGGCATATGACACAATGACTGAAATCCTGCTGCTTAGCATAGTAAGCCACAAGTGGACTAGGCCCATTGAACCAAAGGAAAAGAGAGGAATTGACTAATCAAATCCCCAATGATTCGGTGGTCCTACTCTATTTGCAACTTACTATGCTAAGCAACAAAATTTCAGCCAATAGGATCTTAGACAGAATCTGAGACCCTTTACAAGCATAGCATATGCTCTACCACTGAGTTAGAGCTCCAGGAAACATTGTAGTGAATTGGGCTTTGTAGCTGACAGGAACCATGGCCATAGTACACTGGCGTACACAGTTTTAGGGTATGACAGACAAGTTCATGCTGAAGGAAGATTCAACAGATGTAGGCTTTGAAGTGGCTTTATGTTCACAGGGACAATGGCTTTAACTTGTTCTGCAACACACAATTTGATTTTTACTTCTAACATTTGAAAACATTTAAACAAAATGGCTAGTTTATTCAGATACAGTGGGGTCTTGACTTGAGAACTTAATCCGTATTGGAAGGCGGTTCTCAAGTCAAAAAGTTCTCAGGTCAAATCTGCATTTCCCATAGGAATGCATTGAAAACCATTTGATCCGTATCTGCTCTTTTCCGTCCATAGAAACTAATGGGAAGCTGCTATTCTGCCTTCGACCACTAGAGGGGGATATTTTGTTTCTTTTTTTCTTAGGTCAAGAAAGGTTCAGGGAAGGCAGGGAAAATACAGTCCGGGCAGTACCAGGCAGTCTGAAGACTCCCAATCCACTCTCGAAACGCTGGGAGGAGCGAGGAAGCAGACAGGCACCCTTTTCAATGGCCAACAGTTAACTGAAAGTTCAAATTTTGCACTTTCCCTGCCTCCCACGTGGTTTTTTTCAGTTCTTAACTCAAATCTAAGTATGTAAGTCAAGTCAATATTTTCCTATGAGAGTGGTTCTTAAGTCAAAATGTTCTTAATTCAAGCCATTCTTAAGTCAAGACCCCACTGTATCTTGAGATACCAACATTGTTTTAAAATTATGAGTAATGATATACTCTTTTAAAGCCAAAGGACCCATTTCAGATACCTTTATTTTGGTTCCATACAAAATGTAAAATAACATGATAATGAATCCGTTAAAGACAGTTACATCAAATTAGAGCTGAATTGTGAAAAACACCTTGGGACTTTTTTAGTAATATAATTTTTTGTAGTCACATAGTGACATATGCAATAAACCTGGCATAGTTCATATGTAACAGAATACCATGGATTCTTTCTATGTCTACTAACTATGCCAAGCACTGGGCTTTATCCATCTCACCTCCTCCCTTGTGGCCACATTAAGTTGGGGGGTGATTCCTCTATAGTTTAAACAAAATAGTATAACAAACCATAGTTTAATTCTCACTAGAATTAATCAAACGAGCATTTGTTCCATAGGATGTGCATGAACTGTAGGTTGTTTTAAACGGTTACCTGCATACGTTAAAGAGAAGAGCGGAGAGGATACGTATGAGGTTTCTCATTCCATTTGATGTAGAGTTTTATGCTTCATTGGCTGAGATACTGTTTGTAGTGTAAGCTAAGTTGTAGCTTTCAGTCTGTTACTCCTTGGTAAATAAAGTATCCCTGCCACACACAATGGCTTGGCATATGAACCCCTTCCTGAAAATTATGTCAGGGACAAACACTATTTACAGGGAGGAATAGACTGAGAGTTACAATTTGGCTTACGTTACCAACAGGATTTCAGCCACTGATTTCTTAAAACCAGCTACAATTCTTCCCAAAAGATTCTCCCCTCCCAACATTTAGCAGCTATTTTCAAGAGTATTTATAATAATGTATCTCATATATTCCTTATAAGCTTTATGACACTGAAGTCAGATCTGCACTGATGCTTATTTGGAAATTTTTACTGTAACATGATATCAACAGTGTTATAGTTCACTTTCTCTTTTCTATTCTATGTCTATGTTGACACTTCCAAGTTTGAATAATGGAGGAAATATAAAGGGAATTGTCAATTCCTTAAAAACAATATGCAATTCTTATATTGACAGTAACTAAGATTTTTCTGCTGAGACCATTATTTCAGTTTACACATACAAACTATATTTATTATTAAACATGCTTTAATATTTTTATTTAACAATTTTATTTGAGAAGTTTAGGTGTGGTCAATTTGGTTCTCCTCCTCTGTTGCACGCCACCATCTCATCTTCTTACTGGTGTCTGTGATGAAAACTGAAGAATAAAACTGTCCTTCAAATGTGTGCAAGTCAGCCTGCAATGCAATTATGCTTTGAAATTTGAAGTTTCTTCTCTTAGTCATAATACACATTCTCATTCCATGTTTATGCTACCAAATACACAAATTAGAAGAGTATAAAATATTAATATACTGAAAGAACCCCAATTCAGAATTTAATGCAGCTTTTGATACACTTGTTTGAACACAGACCTCCCTGTTATCTCATCAATGGATATTCTCTCATAATAATAATAATAATAATAATAATAATAATAATAATAATAATTATTGTTATTATTATTATATTATAATAATTATCATAATAATAATTTTCCTCCTTTCAAAAGAGACACAAAAAAGAAAAGAAAGAAAAAGGACAATCTGTGGGCTGAATCAATTCTGTACTAGAATTACACTTCTATACCTAGAAAATGTTGGCAGGAGAAGATACAATCATGATGGCTTAAATATAGTTGAATCTATTGAGGAACATATTCCAGAATCTACTATTATATTATGACAACAACTTAAAAGGTTATCAGTATTCTTTGAATTATCCTTACTTCACTTACCTAATAGGTCTTTCAGCCTAACAAGCCTCATCTTATGCCATTAAAAGCTGGAACTCATCTGTGTCATCTCCTCGAACTTTATCTCCGAACTTGAAAAAAATTTGAATAACATTGCCAGATTTCTCTAAGAAACATGTCTTATTTTAAAATAACTTGCCAATTTAAAGTATGCTGATCTGATTTTAATTTTATTAAGAGAAAAAAAAATGTAAAAGATTTGTAAGATATGGAGTTGCCTCTTAACACCAAAACGTGTCTTCACTTTAGAGGTAAAATGGAGAAGTACTTTGAAAAGTGATTTCACAATTTTGTTAATATTAGACCACACTGAGTTAAACATAATTAAATATGCGTTATACAGAATTAAAGACCATAAAACAACCAGAAAATCAACTAAAATGGTATCTTAAAATACTCTCTATTCCCCCCCACTTTTGCTTGCTTTCCAGTACACTTTGAAATGTGCCACATTTAGATTTGATTTAGATAAATATATTACAATCTGCAAAGTTTACTCCAGTTCAATTCTTGGTCTCAGACTAAGTAGAGAGCCCATCCTCATGAAGTAGAGGTAAGTAGAAACAGCTCAGCCTAAGTCTGACAGCAGAATGCATCAAAGGTTGATGGCACATTAAATTCTCTTATAGGATTTTGAGTTGTTCCAGTTTCATATGGTGCTAATGATTTAACAGCATTTTAGAGGTAGAATTAATGTCAGTGCCGACAATAAGTCCAAACATGTTAAAATTTCCATTACTGTTTTGTTTTTAAAGTAACTGGTTAATCCTTCAAGTTCACATTTCTGAGAAGAAGAAGAAAATAATAATTACACAAACAGCAGGACATGGTAACACAGAAATATTATTTTCTTCAGGATCTACATCTAGAACCTTCAGATTACTGAGGCCACACTATAACAAAAAACATTATTCACAGATACACTGCCATTATTTAACTGGACTGTCTACAGCAGAGGGGGGAAAGGGTAACTTGGGGACCACAAATAGCAACTAGTCCTTCTGGTCTATGAGGAAGATATCCACAAATGAGTTAACTCCCCTCACTACCCACAAAAGGTAGGAGCTGCATGACCTAGACTTTGATATATAGCCTATTCCTTTGGTTCCACCTCAGTTCTTTTCTACAGCATAGCAGAGATAGAAAATAGTAACACTGAGTGGAAAACAGCCTAAAAGAATGTGGTATGAGTTTACAGAGTGTTATGGTGGATAAGCCACTTAAAAGTACAGTGGTGCCTTGAGTTGTGAACAACTTAATTCATTCTGGAATGATGGTTGTAACTCAAGTTGGTCGTAACTCAACGTTTTGAGTTTCTGCTTGCCTCCAAAAACCTCTCTTCTTCCACTCCATGCCCCCTGCAGGTATCATGCGCGTGCACATACACAAACACCAACACCCCATCTCCAGAAAGAACAGAATGTGTAAAACAACAAACCCACCCCAAAATAAAATAAAATAATCCTTCTAGGTTGGAGGCATTCTGCAGAGTACTGAGAAGGTTCACTATTATGTGTCTGTTTCTATTAAGAGCTCCATCATCCTCTCCATTTGGGTGGTCTGGCTTTCTCAATAGGCAGGACCTGTCAAGGGCACGTGATGGATCCAAAAAACGTTACCCTTTTTACAATAAACTCCAGGAAAGGAAAGTAAACCCCAGTAACGTCCTATCAGCTCTGCCCTCCCGGGTAAACAAGCAGGCATCCTCTGAGGGGATCTGTGGAGGAGACAGACCCCAGGCATGAAATCGATGAAGTGGCTACAACGGAATCTCAGTCTCTTCTCCCCTCCCCCTCACTGCCCCACCTTCCACAACTGTCTCCGAAGCCTCTCTCTGAACACACACTCTTTAACCGCTGGGGCGAAGGAGCTACAGAGAAGCAGCCTCTTTGCTGATCAATGGTTAGCAGTTTAAATTCCCCACCTTTTTTCTGATCGTTATCTCAAAGTTTCGGTTGCAAGTCAAAGCAAAATTTTCCGACCAGAGCTGGTCGTAACTCAAATTGGTCGCAAGTCAGGATGGTTGTAAGTCAAGGCACCACTGTACTGTATCACCCCATATGAGCTTCCCTGGCTCTTAAGATATTCTGCAGAGGCTGTTCTTCCTTGCATGTTCATCAAACACTCACAGGATTGTTTGGTGAGGACACAAGGGAGCACTGTTTCAGTGGCTGCTCCCAGGTTGTGGAATGCACTTTCTTGGGCAAGTCTGATTGGCCTCCTCCTTTTTGTCTTTCTGCCAGGAGACAAAAACCCTACTCTTAGGCAGGCCTTTCATTGACCTGGACAAGTTGGGGCCATTATGGGACGGTATATTTGTAGAATAAGATGGATACGCTTTTACATGTTTTATATGAACTTTTTTAACACTTACTTGTTTAAAAGATTTTTTTTAATACAACATCTTACTGTGTTTTCAATTGTGTTAATTATGTTGTTTTAATTGACTGAGCTGTCTTGAGTCCTCTCTGGGAAAAGGCAGCATATAAATAAAATAATCAATAAATAAAACTGGATTATCAGCACCTGAGTGGTCTGCATATCTTTCTCCAGAGATCAAAGAGAACTGGACTTGGTCTCTTTGTTGTATCCACTGCCATCAGCAGATGTAATGACCACAAGGATACCAGCATTAGAAAAGTCCTGGCGGAAATCCTTTGAATAATATTAAACTGTGGAGGAACACATATTTTGGGTAGCTTTGTCTGGAATTACAGCCCTACTAGGATACTGAGGGCTTCTTTTAGATTTGGAAAAACATTAATAGACTTAGCCTGCCACTCCACTTTGTCATTGGGTCGCTGACTAACTGTGCGCGCTGGATAGATCTCAGAGGATCTGATGTCTGGATGTTTAAGCCAGTAATTTGTGGGCTAAGAGCTATATGAAACTGACTGCATTGTATGAATTTTGCCACAACCATAGATTTTTTTCCCTGTGACCAGGAAATTCTCATTAAAGATGGGCATTGGGGGCTCCAAAGGTTGAATATTACATAGCAACATTATATTGTTGGTCAAGGCAGCAACATATGGGGCAAAAACCCACAGAAGAGACTGGATGTTTCAGAAAAGAGAAGCATATATAACCAAATCTAGTGATGAGGAATGAATGCAAGACAGCCTGTACTGGAAACATCAAGCAATGCCTGCCTTTTCTGGATAGTAATAGGAGTCAATCTATTCCAGGATAGCTTCTTTCTGCTAATTATATCAGAAGGCTCGAGTCAATCATATCCTGTTTCTAAATGGGGGAACTCTGGTCTAAAACATGTTTGGGGGGGGCGAGAAAGGGAAAGACAGTGATTATATTCAAATACAGTAGTCAATCACACTTCCTGAAGTTTATGGAGAGACAATTTTTTTTCAGAGTTCAGGGCAGGAGAGGGGATTGCAGCTTACTGAAGTCTAACAGCCAAAAAGGGCACTGGATCCTCAGATATTACCCATCCATTGTGTATGCAAATGGCAGTGCAGTTTCTCTGCAGCCAGGAAAGGATACAACTGTACTCAGACACAAAAGCCAGAAGGCACACTGTCAATATGCCCTCTTTCCCCAAATTAGTGTGGGACTTGAAGAGGACTGAGAGCAAAGCTTGTTATAATATTGATCCATAATATGGACTCACAATACTGATCTCCTGGAAAAGAGCTAAGGACAAAGTTACTCTGTCATTTAATGTTGGAACCACTATGCAAATCAGTCTAAAAAGTAAACATTTAACTTATTTAATTACATACTTGTCTGTTTGTTCTGTTGTTACTGTAAGTGCTCTCTCTGGAGAATGTGAAGGAGATCTCAGTGTTGAGCTAAGAGGAGATGAGGCACGCAGCGACGATGTGGAGAGGCCATGCCGACGCATCTCTTGAATGGCACGTTCACTGTCAAGCAGAACATTTGAACTGGAATTTGAGAGTACAGTATCCGCATGCATTTCCCCACATGGTAAACAAGTCTGCTGTTCTACCTTCCTCCTTGATAAAATAGTAACCTGTATACTGCTTTCTCACAAGCCTGGACTTCTCTAAAAGAAGAGCAAGCACTGCAACTGAGAGGAATTTAAAGATCTTAAACTGAATATGCAGTCTCTCCTCTCATGCATTGCTCAAAGCAAGGGTGGGGCATCTCTTTCAGCCCAGGAGCTAAAATCTATTTTAGAAAAATTCTGAGCAATTCCAGTGGAAGATGGGGCTAAATATTAGACACGTAAGGTAAACAGGTGGAATCAAAAATACTGTTACATTTTAAAGCTATTACTATCAGTAACAAAGATATTTCATCCTTTTCAAAAGGGGGAATATAAAAAGGCAATAAAAGTGTCATAAGAAAAGCCATCTGGTAAAAACGACGATAAAACTTGGCTGCACAGACTGAATCACTTGGCACCTGTCCCAGAGCAATTCTATTGCCTCAGCTTTCATATAGATATTTTATTATCCTCTGTCTCATATAGGGACACACTATTTTCTCAAAATGTTTTATAGATTATTTTTCTTCACAACAAAAGTAACTGGAAAACATGAGTAAGAGATGAGGAAACTTAAGGGGAACCAATCAATTTTAAAACAAAGTAAGGTTAACAACGCAAGAATAACGCAAGAATAATCATAATCTTGGGGGATACTTATTATCCATTCCAATCTGTTGTTGTTGTTTTTTAAAGCAGACATGCAGTCTTAGTTCCCCTGGTGATTGACTTGTGCTTGGGAATGTGTCTGTGCTAGTCCTCTTGCACTTTTCAATGTGTTTTAATAACATGGACCTTAATTTCCTCCTGGATGGTCTGATGGGTTATGTTCAACATTCCTTCTAATTTTCCACCAGCACTGAGTGGAAACCATACTCCATGAGCACAAAGGCTCAGCCATGACCTGAGCCAAATGAGCAGCAAGACAAACTGTGGGTGCTGCACAGCCACACACCCACACAACTTAAGAGGGAATGTTGTCTGTGTCTGAGGTCTGATCCATTGCAAAGGAGGATGCTTGAGAACCTTGGCTTTGCCCTATAGTCTTAGGTTATCCAAGATGCTACCATGTGGATGGCATGAAGCGCTGCCTCTTTGTGTTCTATTTATTAATTCCAGGGATGGAATTAATAGCACATTTACTCAGAAATTGCTTGAAAGCTGTTCTGAGATGGATGAGAGCAAACATGTTACCACTTAACCCACACAAGAAGGAGCTGCTTGGGATGACAAAACCTGTTGATCTGTATTAAAGGATCAAACTGTTATTGGATGAGGTTTCATTCTGCCTGAAGAGTCAGCTTCTTAGCATGGGATTCCTTCTAGACTCATCACTCTTGTGCCTGGCTTCCCTCGGGCACATTCTAGTTATAGTCAGACCTATTACAATACATTCTACATAGGGCTGCCTCTGAAGACAACTCAGAAACCAAAATTGTTGGTTTTGGCTCCAGGTTATTTGAAAAACTGCTTACACTTTTACAACCCTGATACTTTTGAGACAATCTTAGGAGGCCATATTCATTGATCTACCATTAAGAATAATAGGTCTGGTAGGTATTAAAGACAACACCTTCTCAATAGACACTTATCTATCCTATGGTATCTTCTTCCAGTGATACATGACTAGTAACACATGTCTACTTTTAAGAGGGTTTTAAAGATTCATGTGCCCTTCCTGGGTTTCAGCTGAGTTCTGATAATATTTACGTTTTATGATTATTCTATAATTACATTCTATTGCATCTATCTTATTTTGAATTATTGTTTATATTTAACATAATAGTTTGTGAATTTTTAGGTGATATGAAATATATTTCAGTCTCTAGCTCACCTTTTAAAGGCAATGTCACTGAAAAGCAGCTAAGAAACAGATTAAATAAATAGGTAAATATTAGATCAAACTTCTAATATAATTTTCTTTGTAGAACTGTGTGCACTTTCCTCACTGTTTTCTTAAAAAAAAGAATTCAGATAATGCATTTCTTTAAAGCAAATTCACTTACCGTTCGAATCGCTCTGTTGTCAGCTGTCTTTTTAAAATGTCATAATCAGCCTGCAATTGCGCCATTTTATTTCGGAGTATAGAAGCTTCTCTATTAAGACTTGTTCTGAAAAGATTGGTGAAAAAAGTCTTTAAAATTACACAGTTACAGATGGTATGTGTAAGGAACTTGAAAAATAGCTACAAGCAATGCAAACAAATATAAACAAGGAGAAGAAACAATGAACTTATTAAAATACATGCAAAAGGCATGCATGCAACTGCAAGCACACATAGCTCTACAAAATTAAGATAGTACTTTATAGTTAAAAATGAGTATTGTAGAAAATGCTTAAGCCACCACTCCAAGTGAAGAATGCATACTTGGATGCACGTTAATCTGAAACTAGGATTTGAGACCTGTGTACAGATTTCCTTCTGCTCAACATACCCTCTAATCTTCAGCCCTGTGAGTGGGGCTCCGTCTCGCTCTCACGCGGCTTCACCGTGCATGCGTGACTCTATTGCTGCACGGAGGAGAAAGATAGCTGCATGGAGGGAAGCGGAGTGATGTGCACGCGCACCCAACTTAGCTGGAACCTTGCTTATGCTGTTGACTGAATTCCTTTCAGTCATCTTTGACCTTACAAAAGGTCAAAGTTGCACAGAGATACTTTAATGAGAAGTAGGAATGTATGATCACATCTCCCAACCATCTGGAAGAAGTCTACTTTCATTCTCTTGCATGAACTAACTCTTTAAGGCAGCTTCACGTGTTTCCTTACTACAGTACAATGGACCCTCGACTTACGGAATTAATCCGTATCGGAACCGCGGCTGCAGTTTGAAAAGTCTGTAGGTCGAGGCTCCATTGACCTACAAGGCACTGAAAACCGATTAATCCATAACCGGCCATTTTTGTTCCATTTTCGGGTTTTTTCTGGTCTGTAGGCTGATTCTCCGGTTGCAAGTCGAACCTAAATTTTGCAGCCAGAGACGTCTGTAACTCGAAAAGTCTGAAAGTGGAGCCATCTGTAAGTCGAGGGTCCACTGTACTATTCAGGTGTTATAATAATAATCTTAGAAATGCAGAGCTGGAAGGGAACCTATGGATCATCAAGTCTATCCCTGTCAGGGAGGCACAGTGGGGAATTGAACTCCCGACCCCTGGCTTCTCCACTTGATACCTAAACCACTGAGCCATCCAGCAGTTATATGAGCTGATGGTTTGAACATACTCAGAGGGGAATGCCTAACCATTACTCTTCTGTTGTCACTTTCTTCACATGGCCTTCACCATCCAAAAAGGAAACATTCTTGTTCCCATGCAGGTTCTACATATAACAAAGCATTCAGGAGTTCTTTTTGGATATAGAAATATTTCAATATTCAGTCTCTGCAATCATCATGAGAAGAAGAATATAATGACAGAGGAGGCAGGGACAGACACTCTACTCTAAAGGTGTTCAGCATGGGAACTGTTAGCAGTATTGTGAAGTCTTGGTGTTTCTTATGTTCTTTCAGCATGAATCCTGTATACAAAATACATTTTTCTGTGCAGGAATTGTAATAGCCCAGATCAGCTGGGTATCTGTTCCATTAAAAAACAACTATGAAACATTGGGAAATGTCACTAAATTTCCTGTGAGATTTCTTGGGGAGGGAACTTGTGTAGCAAAATCTCACTGTAGGAAGAACTGGTTTTTTCCCCCCTCAGTTCTTCCCTGACAATGAGAGGCTATATATCCCTACTTCCAAATAAATGCTACATGCTACATCACTAAATGCATTTCATCTTGAGAGGCAAGTGTAGAACAAGAGGTTCTAAGGTTATAAGTTCTGCCCACAGAGATTTACTATAAAAAATTGTCAGATTTTAGCATGTTAATTACCTCCACTTTAATTACTAAACAACAGTTGAAAAAAAAACATTGTAAAAATTGAAGTTTTGTGCTTTAGAACATACAGTTTGCTCTCTGCAAGTGTTAACTTGTCTTTGAGTAGCTGTATTTCTGAATCCTTTTCATGGGTTATCAAATGATGCTGAAAATCTTTATCTCTGCTGGTAGCCAAGAGTGTTTCCAGGTTTTGAATTGTCAGTCGCTCACTTGACAACTGCTTTTTTAACAGTTCTGCTTCAGCTTTTGCATCTTCTAGTTCTGACACAACCTAAAGCATAAAAAGAATTTGTCCCACCTGGTATTAGGCACTCTTTCACACAAACACACAGATCAGCATTTACCCTAATTTATTGTTCCTAACTATGTTCAACTGTCAACATTTAACTACTTTAACAATATCTAGATGCAAAGCAATACAGTGGACCCTTGACTTACAGACTTACAGACTTTTTGAGTTACAGACCTCTCTGGCCACAAAATTTAGGTTTGACTTGCAGACTGAGATTTGACTTACAGACCAGAAAAAAAATCAAAATGGAACAAAAACGGCCTGTTACGGGATTAATCGGTTTTCAATGCACTCCAGGTCAATGGAGACTTGACTTACAGACTTTTTGACTTGAGAACCGCCTTCCAATACGGATTAAGTTCTCAAGTCAAGACCCCACTGTATGGCTTCTATGGTTGGGCCTAGCACTGAAAATCTTGATTAGCAAAAGGTATCACAGATTTTTGCATTTATGATTAGAACCAGCCATTATAAAATGTTATGTACTGTACCTGTCCTAACCAAATCAGTAAGTCAGTTTCTTCTGCTGGTGTCCCTCTTATACATGAGCTTATACAGTGGTGCCTCGCTTTACGATTGCCCCGCATTATGACGAAACTGTTTAACGACGATCTTTTTGCAATCGCAATTGCGACTGCAAAACAATGGTCTGAATGGGGGAATTTCGCTTTGCGATGATCGGTTCCCTGCTTCAGGAACCAATTCTTCACAAAACGACGTTTTTCGAACAGCTGATCGGCAGTTTCAAAATGGCCGCCGGGTGATTAAAATGGCTCCCCGCTATGTTTAGGGATGGATTCCTCGCTATACAGGCAGCGAAAATGGCCGCCGTATGGAGGATCTTTGCTGGACGGTGAGTTTTACCCCATTGGAATGCATTGAACAGGTTTCAATGCGTTTCAATGGGGTTTTATTTTCGCTTTACGATGTTTTCACTTAACAGCGATTTTCCTGGAACGGATTATTGTCGTTAAGCAAGGCACCACTGTACTTTGAGCTGGGCCAGGGCAAGCCTGATCCTGAGCCTACTTTTGACTCTTCCCATTATCAGCTTACAGATTTCCTTCATTATTATTTATTTACTGGCCGAAGTTTTCATCTATGTCTGCAAAATGATGTCATTAGCCTTACATAGGCATAAGTTACACAATAGGATTTTAGTCATTGTATTTAAAGTATTTCCAGTGTTTGGTTAAGGCTCAAAAGTAAAGACACATTCTGCTGACTTTACAGCAAATAAAATCAAACCAAATGTGTAAGAATTATATCTGCATCAAGTAGCAAAAATAATGTGTACAAACACTTGACTTAGAGATTTATCAACGTCTACAAACAAGTTAGTATAAGAATGCAATTTACTACAAGGATAGAATACTGTATGTTGGCCTCGGTTCAAACAGCTATTTAGATTTGGACACACAATTCTCAGTCTGAATAACACAACCATAACACCGGGAAAAAAGTAAACTAGCTACCATAACTAGAATGTTGGGAGGTGAATAACTGATTAACTAGCAATACCATTAATATCTAACTGTTCTTCCAAGGAATTCAAGGCAGTGTAAAAAGACACACAGTAACAAACAAATAAGTTAAGACAGATATTACAGAACAAAGGTTTCCCATCTCACACTGCTCAGGAGACTTTTCAGGGATTACAGAATGCTTTAGTGGGGAAGAGGGTAACTTTCTTAAATTAATTTGTCACAGAATCCTGTCTATTGGTACCATATTTTAGTGTCAACATTTCATTAGTTCTGTAAAATGTGGAATTTATTTAAGATAGGCTAAGAATAAATTCTTTCTCACTTACCCTCTCATAATCCAGAGATTTGGACATTAACTGACGCTGGAGAACGTCTTTGCCAGACTCCAGTTTAACACACAAGTCTCTAACAGAAGTTATATCAACAGTGATTGAAGATTTCTCTTCTTTCTCACGTCTGAGATTTTCCTCCAGTCTAGCCATATCTTTTGCCATTGCAGAGATCTGTGATTCATAGGCTTGGTGTGCAATGATATGCTAAATGAAGGACAAAAATTACAACCACTACATGCACATGTGTGAGAGTTCAATCAGTATCCTACTGAAAGGTCCCTTGTGACATAAAAATTACCTATACAAGAAAAAAAAACCATAAACTTGAAATAGTTTTCTTATGACTAATACAGTATACACGTACAACTATTTGCAAGACTGAACATGTATTCAACAAGAACAGAAATAGACCTGAAATTAGTTTTGCCTTTGGCATATCCTGCTGCTTAATTAACAACACCTGCTCCTTGCAGAAACCTCCAGTTAATGCCAAGGCACTAGATTAATAAAACACATTAGAAAAAGAACCAGGCTGCACAATCAGCTGGTACTGATAATTACCTCCTGAATTTCTTTTTCCAACAATTCCACTCTCTCTCTAAGGTGCCTTCTCTCAGTATCAACTGAAAGTAGTTCCAGTCGTACAGAACTGTTTTGTCCCTCAGCTTGATGGGCCTTTACTTCCCAGTCTTCAGCTTGGCTATGCAGCATCTGGAACTTCTCTAACAACTCCTTGTTTTCTCTTTCCTAGTTCAAACAGAAACATCCAAACCATGAGCAATGAATAACTGAAGCAAACACATTCTCCCACCACCCATTTAATTCTTTTAAGCTTACAAACCAAATCAGCAATCTGCTTTACTATACCCAGGCAAGGAAACATGAATGTGTATTAGGGATGGGTCTTACAGGTTTTTTTGGTTGTAACTCCCAGAATTGCCCCAGAATTCTGCAGACAAAAACATAAACATCCACAGAACAGCTTACATCTACATATGGACCTCTATTGCAAGTATTAGCTTATCAAGAAAAAGGAAGGGTTTATGGATCAGGTAGCCATTTGAAGAGTGACTTCTATAGAGCCTAATGGGCAGTAATACTAATATCCCATGCATCTTTGCAGTTCCAATGGAGCCTTGCCACTTCCAGACACCACCAGGACAGATTCCTTCTTCTTCCTGAAAAGCTAATAATATCAATGGAAGCCCAAGTGTAGGAAACATAAGCTACTCTATGGACCTTTGGCTGCAGCGTCCAGAATCTGCCTTCGGGAACTCTAGGCAAATTCTGGGAGTTGCAGTCCAAAAAACCCAAAAGTTCCATCCTTTATGCAGATCATTCTCCACATATCACCACCACCACTCCACTCACCTACAACAGACAACACCATCCTTCTTACAGTCAGGGCAAGTCCTTTAACTGGGACCTCAGAGTGTTTAAGGAAGATGCAGTTTTTGTAATTTGACAAAAAGTATGCTTACAACATACAACAAAGATAGAACTCTATATGTTTAGCTTGCTGTACTTACTTTAAAAATGATACATTGGATAAAATGAAGATCTTTAACTCCAGTTCCAATGTCTGCATGTACATATTTTAGCTACAGGTTTTAAGTATAAAACATAACTAAAAACAACAGGAAGATCTGAAATGTGAGTTGCTGAATGGAAACCTTTCTGCATAACTCCAAATGGTGCACACAGATTCCTGATTTACATAAAGTCAGACCCTTACATTTACAAGGAGCAAGAAATTACAACAGTTGCCAGTAAATCTCAAATAAATGGGATAGGGTTATGGCCAAATTCCATTTGTTTTCTCCCACTGAATCAACAGATCTTACCTAAGTGTTGATGTTAACAATTCACCAATTGATTTAATGTCTGAAATCCTGTTGCACAGTAAATCACAACTAGAGTGGGTCCACAGAATCAACTGAATTTATGGAGGAGTTGGCTCACCAGATCCCCACTGATTCAATGGGGCTCTTCTAATTGTGACTAAGGCTGTGAACAGATGAGGCAATTGCTTACATTTTGGACCACTTGTGGCACTCTGGTGCAAGTTACTTTTTGATCATCACACACTGTGAATGAGATAGTGAACCAGCCCAACACTGCTTTTTGGTCCTACTGCACAGCAACTCTTTTTTGGGGCAAGGCTGGAGTGATTCCTCCACAGATGGGAAACTTTAAGGGAGATCTTGGAATTTCATTATACCCTTACTATGGTAAGCAACAGGATTTCAGACAATGAGTACACTCTAGGCAACCCTAGCAATTGGATTTAGGTCTGTAACTTGAATTATTTTAGATAGTTTTTTCCTGTAAAACGAATAAACTCATCTGTTTAAATGAAGGTGTGAGACAAAGTGTGCCGTCCTCTGAGGAGACCAGACCCGTGGAGGAGAGTGGTTGTGTGGAAGGGATCTTGGTTGAAATAGATCAAGCAGAGGAAGTGAGAGGAAAATCGACCAAGGTGTGTCTAGCTGATGAAGGAGGGGCGGAGCTAGACCTCATTGTTTGGGAGGAGGTAAAAGAGGGGGAAAGCACGCGTTTTTTCAGTTTTGTCAACGGAGGGAGAGTTAGGGCGGTACGTGGATCAAGGAGTCCAAACAGAGCCCATGCTGTCGTCAGGGGAATCAGCCGACATCGTGCGGGAATTTCTGAATCTACAATTGGGAGGTGGCTTGTTACCAGATCCACTCCTGCCGGGTAGTCGAGGCCGCCCATACGACCCCTTAGAATGGACAGTCGTAGTTTATCCGCGGAATTTCCTTGGGGGACGGAAAGTGATTTGCCCTGGACCGGAGTTCCAACGGAAGCCTTTGGAGGGAGACTGGCCCCGCCATCCCTGTTGCAGGATGGTTTGTGCAGTCCGGAGCACTCCTTTACGACCTCTAACCAATCGGGAGTGGTTCGGCCCGGCTCCCTTTTAGGTAGAGCGGAGGAGGTCGAGGTTGTGAAGCCGAAAAGGTATAACTTGTTAACTGACGACATGTTAAGGGATCCGTTTGATCCTGTTGAATTAGGTTATGTTTCCAATAAAATTGTTAACTTTGAAGAAAAAGATCAGCCTCCATGTCTTTTTCCCGCCTTCACTACAAGTGCCCCCCCGGCCAAAGAAGGACCTTGTCACAGAAGGGCATTCATAATCTCGTGCTACAGTCATACATGCAGAATGTGGAAATGCTTCAGAATTTAGCATTCTGAGAAGGGGCATCATCCAACCATTTCTATGGGCTTCAGCATAAGGCTGCGTCACAGGTACTAGTTAGTTAAATAAATATATGGGGTTGCAGAACTTAGTATGTCCCTATACTTTGTTTAGCAAGGTCTGGGCTACAACAGTTCTATGTAGAACTGCAACTTTTCCTATAAAATTTGAGAGCTCAGTTTCCTCCTGGGAAACCCTCGCCATCTGTACAATCTTCTACTGATTGGCCAAGACTGCTAATTCATGCTGTAACTTAAGTTTATTTTAAAGAAAATGTTCAGCCCTCAAGTTGTGAACATGAATTTGAAAATATGTTGGCAATCCTTGATGAGAAGAGAAATCAAGAGAAGAGCTCATCTAAATTCCAGTTGATTCAGAGATGCATATGTTTAGTGTCTAACATAATTCTTTGGAATGCAGAATTAAGTAAAAGAAGTATCCTTACATTTGATTTACTTACAAAATTTACAACAGTTATAATTTTTTTCTCTTTATGCAGTTTGGCTTACTTTCATTCGCAGAATACCTGGGCCTACTAATGACATTAAAACATGATACTGTACATTTTGTTTACAAATTATTCATGATAATTTTCAAGATGCACTTCCTCACCTTTGAGGCTATTAAACTTTCAAATCTGGAGACTTCAGTTATATAATTATGAACTCTAATTTTCATTTCTTCTTTTTCACGTAAGGCTAGTTCCAATTCAGTGGAAATTGCCTATTTAAATTACATACAAAATAATGAGATATATTATATCCAAACAGAACAACTCTAATCTCATCTGGTAAACCTGCTAGTTCATATGTCATACGGAGCTTACTCACACAAAAGAATACTTCTTTAAAGGAAAAAATCATTTAAAATGTCAGTTTTCATTTTATCAATTTTCAATAGACAGTTTTACCTTATAGGTTTTTTATATACAGATATAAATAGAAAAACGCCCAGTCATGCAAGTTTCCACCTACATTGCAAAATAGTAAGTTTAGACACAGGTTTAGTAAATGGAGAACTAAGTCAATGATGGCTTGAGGTTCACTTTTCTCTTCAATTATTTACTTGATAACTATTTTTAGATTTCACACATATTCACAACAGAACATCTATAGTGGTAAAAAAGAAAGCTAGTGAACAAGGCATAAAACATAGTTAACTGTTGGTTGTATATTCTTGTACATAATAAGTATGTGCTGTCAAGTCAGTTCTGATTCAGGCGACCCTTTCCAGGGTTTTTCTAGGTATTATTCTAAGAAGTGACTGAGCATTATCTTCTTCTGTGGCTACCCTGGGACTGTGCAGCTTGCCCAAAGCTACACACTGGCTCTTCTCCTAGGATACACAGCGGGGCATCAAATTTCCAACCTCTGGCTTGCAGAAAGTAGATAGGCTTGATTTCATCTAGGTATCTTCCTAACAGCCTGCAGTATCCATAAAACTCTTTTCCAGCACACTTATATGAATCATATTTTTCCAGTTGTTGTGGTTGTTTCACTGTCTAGCTTTTGCATCCATATAGTAATTGCAAATATGATAATGTTGATGTTCTTGACCTTGGTTTCCAGTGGGGAGGATTTTTTGAGGATCTTTTATATTTTCTTCTTAGCTGCCCTTCCAGCTCAGTCTTTTTTTGATTCCTTGGCTGCAGTCTCCATTTGGACTGATGACTTACCAAAGTAAAGAAAATCTTTGACAATTTCAGTTTCTTCATTGTCAACACTAAAGCTACAATAGTTCATCTGTAGTCATGATTTTTCTCTTAATAGGTTAATGTTCAATGACATTTTTAATACTTTCTGCGTTCATCTTCATCAAGTCACTGCTACTTCCTTCTACCAATATGTATGTCAAACGTGCATTCTACATGGAGTTGTTTCTTCTAAAAATTTTCATTCCTCCTTCATCTGAATCTAATCCAGCTTTCCATATATGTTCAGCATACAGATTAAAGAGATAGAGAGATGAAATACACCCTTGTCTAACACATTTGCCTACGGGAAACCATACTATTTCTGTATATTCTGTCACTACTGTGGCTTGTTGAACAAGCAACAGAATTTCAGTCCATAGGCATGTGATTTTTTTAAAATGTTGGATTGGGACTACAAATCCACTAATTCGATCCACACCTACAGATATCAACATGTGGCTCATCTGGAGAAAAGGCCTAGTTGTAAAGATTTCATGGCTTACCATAGGCCTAGCTCTATCCTAGCTTCCTACAAATGAAGCTACCCCATTGCTAGCTGGGAGCATCATTTCTTAACACAAAGCTAGGATGGAGCTAGGCCATTAAACCTTCCCAGCTAGGCCTTTTGTTCCAGGTGAGCACAATTGGGTGTCTGTAGGTATGGGTACCAGGTTAAATTCCCCAAAGTATAGAATTATGGGATTTGTAGTAAAAAAAATCTGAAAAACCCATGCCTCTCAGCCTATATGTGGTGAGTCTTTGTTGAGAACCACTTCATCTACATAGAAAATTAATGGAATTGTTCTATAGTTAGTGCACTCATTGGTGTTTCCTTTCTTCAGGACTGGAATATATATTGAACACTTCCAACTGGTGGGCCACTGTTTTGTTTTTCATACTTGTCGGCATATTCTTTTAAAGATTTTAACAAATTCAGTCTCCCTAGTTTAAAATAATTCTATTGATATCTCATGTACTCCTGGCGATTTCTTTCTTTCAAATGCTTTGATGGCAGCTAGCACTTCACCTTCCAAAACTGCAAGTTCTTCATAACACAGGTTTTCTCTTCAAAATACAGTGGTGCCCCGCTTGATGACGACCCCACTTGACAATGAAATTGCTTGACGACAAGTTTTTTGCGATCGCTATAGCGATCGCAAAACGATGGTTCCTATGGTTTTTTTCACTTTAAGATGATTAGGTCCCTGCTTCATGAACTGACTGTTCACAAGACGATGATTAAAAACAACTGATCAGCGGTTCACAAAATGGCTCCCCACTGTTTTCCGGATCTATTTTCACAAGACAGCGATCAAAAATGGCTTCCCCTATGGAGGATCTTCACTGGACGATGAGGTATTTTCCTCACTGGAATGCATTAACCGGTTTTCAATGCATTCCAATGTGTTTTTTCACCCCCGCTTGACGACAATTTTGCTTAACAGCGATTTTCCTAGAACTGATTATTGTTGTCAAGCGGGGCACCACTGTACTCTATTATCCTTGCATATCTTTTTCATACTTCTTCAATGTGTTGCTTTCATCTTCTCTTTATTTTACCCTGGTCAGATATCATGTACTCTGTTGGTCTTTCAGCATCTCCACTCTAGGTTTAAAGTTCACTTTTCTTTTAACTAGAATAGTCTTTTTGTATTCTTTAATTTCACTTAAATGAGTAATACTTATTTAGCTTTAGCTGCAATAATAAATTATCCAAAAGCTTCAAAAGCTTACAATTCATTTTGAATGCTTTAATTCAAGGAAACAGTACTTGAAATAACTATAACATGCACTGTTATGATCCATCTTTGTACCTGGTTTTCTCTTGCCATTGTGGCCAGATCATCCTGCAGTCGTCTGTTTTCCTTCACAGCCATTTCTTTAACCTTGCCAGTTTCTCCAAGTTCGGAGTGGGCTGCATCAAGCTGACGACGGAGACTGGCCAGTTCACGGTCTTTGCCACTTAAGGCATCCTTTAATTGGCTAGCAAATGGGGGATTTGGAAAACCTTAAACAAAATTTATCTTCTTGCATTATGGTATGTAATTCTATATCATTATCATATTTTAGTAATTAAGACAAATTATCATAAATAGGTTTAGGTTTATATTGTATGATCCATCACATTTTTTAAAGATATTAGCAACAGATTTTAAATTATAATTCTATCTTTACCGTAAACATAATTTCTCAAGTTTCTTTATTATTAATTGAATCTCCAAGCAACTGTGCAATTAAGATGTCAGTGGCTGCATTTAGACATAATACTAAGCCATCGTTTTAACCACAATTTCTTCAACACACCAAGATCCTGCTCAGATTTGTTGTGTATACTGTTGTGTGTTGTTCCGTCCCTCCCCGGCAAATACCTACTGCTATACTGAAACTCTCTGAGCAGCCCAAGAACTGGCAAGGTTCTCTTAACTGCCTGGTACCTGCGTGGGCATGGAAGGAACATTTTTCAACATATTCTATGACCTGTTACGTGGAGAGAATGATCTCACATACTTCATACCTCCTAACATGCTGGAATGGTCTCCAGGGAAGCAAAGGAAATCTGATTGATAAGCTAAAATTTAGGACGACCTTCAGCCCACATGGGATTTCCTCTAAATTATTATAAAAGCATTTGGGATTGTGGTCTCCTTTAGTCACCCTCTTTAATAGTTAAAAGCATGAGGGTACCTATATCATGGACTAAGACAATAATAGTTCCTATCTTTTAAAAAAGGAGAGCCACATTCATCAGGGAATTATCCATTGCTGGCTAGTTTCATGCAAGGAATTTAGCTGATATGTTGCCAGCATGGATGGAAACCCAAAAAGTCTTAGGAATGGAACAGACTGGTTTCTGTTCTAACAGATCCACATTAGATCATTGTGTGATTCTGGCTCAATTGGCAGAGAAACACAGTAATTCAGGTGGGATGAGATCATGAGTAGTGGGCAGTGAGATTTCAACAGGGATGCATTTTGAATGATTTGGCCCTCACCTTGAAAATGGTTGCAGGTCATTTTCCAAAACTTCATTCTCCAGAAAATTCCACTATTACTAAATGCAATTTTAGTTGGTAGTTTTATTTTTAACCCAGCTGGACCTAAAACACCTAATGATGGTTTTTGCAGACTATTGTAATATCAATTTGCTATCCAGGAGTTTTGCAAAGTGTAATATTATAGTTTTCTCTACAGTTTGGAAGAACTTCTTCTGAACATTACAGAATAATGTTCTAGAACAAGTTAAAGAATTTAGCTATCTCAGGTTAAATTTCAAGTACAATTTAGTCATATACATGCACTTAATTGGGTTAGTTGTAGAACATTTAGCTGTTGTTCAATTTTCTTACATCAACAGACATCATGTCCCCTCTGCCATTTGTATATTTAAAGCCAAACATATAGCCCAGCTCTTCTATGGTATTCCCATTTGGATTTGTGCATACGATCTTTGCACAGAAAAAAAATCAAACCACCTTTCTGTGTCATATTTTGTGTGTTCCCTGTGCAGCCACATACTTTGGAATATGGATGAATTGGAAAGTTATTAACAGGATTTTTAAGAAGCAGAACAAACTCCTGCAATGTAGGCAGGACACCAAATTTTAAGAATAATCTAAATACTTATTTCTGTTATTACCACTTACTCTAATGATGATTCCAATTGCGAAAGTGTTTGTCGCAAATTGAGGATAGTTTTTTCCTATAGAAAGAGATAAGATTACTTAGGTGCTAATTTTATCTTCTGCAATTCAAAGTCTAAAAAGATTATCAATGAACTACATGAGCAGCACTGCTGGGTTGTCTTGGAAGTAACCAAGAACAGATATCCCAAAGGTTCTATAATAGGTGTATAGCAGTAATATAGAGCTCTTACCAACCAGTCATTAGTAATCTCTGGTAGTCCAGTATTTTAGAAATGATTGAAGCAGTAGGGGTTCTAATGAATAGTCTTTAATGTTCACAGAAGCACCTATTAAATTTATCTTATTCACATATTGAGTCATTTACTCCTGGTGCATATGTATCAAACAATTTGTTCACTTATTTCAACTGCGTTCCATATCTACAGAAGTATGTGGTCATTAGTGCACTTGTATTTTCCACACATATACCTCTTTAGGAAAGAATATGAGCTCACCTAAGTTGACACCTCTCCACAACATGAACAACAAATGGTTCAGACAGTAAAACACAAAGAGAACTAAGGATGAGGATATTAATGCACAGATTCAGTCCTTTGACACACAAATTGCTTTCCATTTGCTTTTTCTTGTTTGAAACATTGATTGTGGTAAGAAAGAGAAACATAATTCTCAGAAAGCAGCAGAGAAGCATGTGGGTCTCACATGACAATGTATTTCCTTGTGTCTATGTGAGCAGCCAGACTCCTGTGGGAGGAGGGAGGACAGAGAGAGGAAGAGAACTGCCGGCTGAAGGGGTCTTGACAAAAAATAATTGCCATTTATTATCATAATTTCCTTTACATCATTAGTAGAACAATATAGGCAACTTGTATTTTAGAATAAATTTTAAAACACAATAATAAATGCACTGTTTTTGGTGAATTTGCTGAACCTATTCTGAAACATAGGCCAAAATCTTACTGATGAAAAGGAAATCTTCTAAGCTGCAGCGATAACAAGACTCTCATTAACAATGTATTGACTGTGCTCTCAGCTGTATGCCTGACTGCATGATCAGACAGATGCCATGAACACAATCGGCACCTTGTTAATGAGTGGCTGTTTCATATAACATAAAACAGTACTAGGAATCTGGCCACAAATTATTTTTATAAAAATAATATTTCTGATTTATTTTGTCCCTTTAATAAACTGCTTTTTAAGCAAAGCTTTTAGGAAGCTGTGAACAATTTACTTATTTTCTGAAGTCATATTCCAACTTTGTTTAGTTGTTTCTATTAAAACACATCATTCTACACTTGCAAGCGCTTACAGATACGAAAACTTGAGAGCAGCAAAACAGAGTCTGCTCTCTGAGGTCTTAAAAACCCTTTAAATGGCATGAAATATGACACATAGCAGCAAGACAGATACATTTGCAAAATAGGGGAACGCAGATCTTTTCATGAGAAGTGGTATCTCCCACATGTTTATAGAGCTTGTTCAGAATAATGCATTGGATTTTCTCTTCTTTTTTGTTTAATCATTATTTCAGTGGGTCCCTTCCTAAATTCTTTTCAAAACACACACTCAAAGAATTGCCTGCCAGTGATACAATAAGGAATAATAACTTTTTCTGTTATAAAGAGGTTCAAATAATATCTTCCATACTTTGTATACAAACCTTGTTTGCTAAATTGTCTTCTAGATATGCAGTTTTTTCTGTCTTTTCATCTATATTTTCCTGTAGTGTATCTTTCTCTTTATCCAAAACATTAATAGTACTTCTCAGGACACGGATGGTCTCCTCTTGTGTAGAGCTTTTGTTATTGAACTTATCTGAAAATAACCAAGTGTTTAGTTTACTTTGCTGATTTGTTAAGAGACATTTAAAACTGCAGCTCTGTAGACACAGGTGTTTGGTGCATCTGTTCAGTGCAGTCAATTGGTCAGAACTATATAGATTCCTGACTGGCAAATAATTTTACTTCTGAAGTAGCCTGACAGGATGAGGAAAAGAGGCGGGTACAAAGAATGATAGGCCAATTAAAAGCTTTTTCCTATAAAATCTACTGGAAAAGATCTTTTAATTTCAGTCCCTTTTTATACAATACTCTTAAAGTATTGTGTAGCCTGCATAATTAATTTGTCAACTGTCCAGAAAGTACTTGGAGCGCTATGGAGTCGTATATAAGCAGCACACTTCGCTTTTTTTTAAAGAACTAAAATCTTTCCAGAGTGGGAGTACTTGTCAGAGTAGTACTCTGAGAGTAGTGCTCCATCTCCACTATCCTCTATAATATGTAAAACATACTATAGAAGAGATGAACATAAATAGGCAAGTAAAGGGAAACTTTATTTGTTCAAATCCTCTTTGGGGTTCCCTTTCAATGTGTTTCTCAGCTTGTATGGAGAACTCTTATCTCCTTCCCTCATCCCCAGCGGAAAATGTCTCACAAGGATGGAGCAGCAACAGCACATCAGATAAGCCCAACTCACATGTACTAGTCCTTCCCGTTTCCCTCTGCAACTGCTGTGAACATTTCAGCAAGGCTGGAGAGGAACAAGGGGCTGTAAATTCCAGATCAGATTCAACTATGGGGCTGCTACTTATTGGTTTTTAATATACATTGGGAAGAAATAAACAAATAGTCCAGACTTCCTTGTTGAGCTATCTGCCCTAGTTTCATTTAACTACAGTGGGGTCTCGACTTACGAACGACCCGACTTGCGAACAATTCGAGTTACGAACCTGCCCTATAGGGAAAGTAAGAACTCGACATGCGAACTTCCCTCGAGTTATGAACAGGGGAAAAAGTCCCCCCTCCCTCCCCTTAGAGGCTTCTGGAGGGGGGAAAAGGGTCAGAAACTTAAAAATAAATACTGTACTGTTAAATAAAGTCACTTACCAGGCCTTGGTAGCCCCCAAACCACAGGAAAAAGAGCAGGAAAGAGCTAAAAGCCGACACCCAGAAAGAGCCTGGCAGCCATTTTGTGGTTTTCCCCGCTCCTCTCCCCGCCTAACAGCTGATCGGCTGGCTCTGAGCAGGCTTCCGGAGGCTTGCTCAGCACCTAAAAAGCCTGCCTGAGTGCCTTTGTGCTGAAAAAAATCAGCACAACATGCTTTAAAACATTATTTAAAATTGGCTTCGTTTTAAAAAAAAAGAGTTCTAAAGTGCTGCCTTTAGTGTTCCCTGCCTTCCCTGAACCTAAGGGGAAAAAAGAAAGAAAATATCCCCCTCTAGTGGCAGAAGGCAGAATAGCAGCTTCCCATTAGTTTCTATGGACAGAAAAGAGCAGATACGGATTAAATGGTTTTCAATGCATTCCTATGGGAAATGCAGATTCGACTTAAGAACTTTTCGACTTGAGAACCACCTTCCAATACGGATTAAGTTCTTAAGTCGAGACCCCACTGTATGATCTGAACATTCAAATCATACAATTATTTTTCTCTAGCAAATGAAACAGCAGTCACCTATTTTCTCTTCCAGCACTGCAATTTCTTCTTGAGCTGCATGAAGTTCATCCTCTTTAAGAGACAACTGATGCTGTACTTCATCTAGAGACTTTTGCATCTGTTCATTTAGTAGCCTTCAGAATCAATTGTCCATTTCGGAGATGAGGAGGGAAGAAACCCAAAAACAGATTTTTAAATGTAACTACAACAGAATATGATAATTTGAAAGTAAAAAACTGCAAGCACACTGGGTTGTGGCACAAAATGAATCAATGCTTTCCATGGTTTTCTCAATGAGTATTATAGTTGCTAAATCAGTAACACTGTAGTCATAGAAACAGGAATTAGTGTCGACTTTTAAAGCTACCCCTTATTGCTGATGACCTGCAAAGTCAAGAATCATCTCTTAAATTTCACTGCCTTTGTGAAGATGCTAGGTTTTCCTATTAAATTCCATGACAGAAAAGTATATTGCCAATACATCAGCTAGAAATGCATACCACCACTGAATGCTGTACCTTTAAGAAACGTAACCTTGCCTCTGGTGAAATAGTGATATAATTTAGAGATTAATGAGAGCAGGGCACCACCAAAACCTGTTTATCATTAATAAAATAATGTAACTAAATACTATAACACATAAAGTAATTACAAATGCATTTCGAAAAACTTGCCCCGGCTTCAGCACCCCTCGCACCCATGGTCTGGTTCCAATATGTGGATGCCACCTTCGCAATTTGGAGCCACGGTGAAGAAAAATTGGAAGAATTTCTGAACCATCTCAACAGCATCTGCCCAAATATACAATTCACCATGGAAAAAGAAATAGAGGGCCAACTCCCATTCTTAGATGTTATGGTCGTACGCAAAACTGACCTCTGATTAGGACACAAGGTCTACAGAAAACCCACCCACACAGACCGATACCTACAGAAAAACTCCAACCACCACCCACAGCAAAAAAGAGGCATAATCAAAACACTGGTAGACCGTGCAAATCGGAACTGTGAAGCTCAGTTTCTCAGCACTGAATTCAACCATCTGAACTGGGCCCTACAGGCAAATAAATGGCTACTCCAAAAATGAAATCACAAGACCCATCAAACCAAGAAAACAACACCAAACTGAAGAAGAAAAACAGCCACCCACAAATAAAGTATTTCAGCCATACATCAAAGGGGGCACTTTTGAAAAAACACAACCTACAAATAGTATTCAAGCCCACCACAAAAATACAACAAATGTTACGGTCAGTAAAGGACAGAAGGGACCCCCTCACAACTGCAGGAATATGCCAGATACCTTGCAGTTCTGCCAGGTATACATTGGAACCACAAAACAAAGCATCCACACCAGAATCAAAGAACATGAGAGACACTGCAGACGAAAACAACCAGAAAAAGCTGCAGTAGCTGAACATGCCCTAAAATACACAGTGCAAAAGTGACCTCTACCAAGCAACAAGGACCGGGGATGACTACACACAAAAGACCAGCTAATGACACCCATCAACCACAGTGACAGATAATCTCTCCTTCTTATCACAACAATACACCCACAACAAGACACACTAATCACCCCTCTACAAAAAAAAAAAAAAGCCCATCTCACAGCCATAAATACTCCACTCTCAAGCAAACTACACCAGAGCACAGAGTGCTGTCCTCTGAAGATGCCGGCCACAGAGACTGGCGAAACGTTAGGAAGAACAACCTTCAGAACACGGCCAAAGAGCCCGAAAAACCCACAACAACTATTAGATCCCAGCGGTGAAAGCCTTCGCGAATACATTAATTACAAATGGTTTTCCAACATATGCAGTGTGTCTTTCCCTCGATACTAGACTATTCCTTTTATTTGGAATTAAAGAGTATAACTTCCAACATCATTCTCAGACTGGTATGGATCTGGTAGATTCAGTTTAGGGGTTGATTTCATGTAAAGTGTAACAACTTCATGTAAAACATCGGTTATCATACTAAGATACAAATAAATAGCTGAACTTACTGAAGTGACACTAATTCTGTCTTAAATTGTGATGTATCTTCTGATGACTGGGAGAGCTGATGAGACTTAGCATTTAATTCATCTTCTAAGGAGACTATTTTGTCTTTCAGTAATGAAATCGTAGTTATTTGATCATGACGTTCTCTTTCCAGCTACAGCACAAACAGGAAATTAAACAGTTTTCTGAATCTTCTACGTGTGGCATTTTTTTTGCATGGAAATTTAATTTTCATTTTTTTAAAGTTAACCAAAAATCTAAGCATAATTCAAACAAACAAATAAAATAAGCATTACAAAACTGTAAGTGCTCTTAAGCACCTTCCATTGTAAATTCCACTAAAATAATCAATCCTATAGCTCAAAATAGTGGCATGAAAGCCCATAATAACATACTTGCCATAAGGAATATGAACAAGAATTGCTACTTAATTTATATCAACAGTGCCATGATTTAAACAATCATGAAAAGATAAATGTCATACTTCCAATCCAAAAGTGGTAAGTTATCATAAAGCAACTAATCATGTCCTATTTTGATTCTTGAGTTAATTCTGATGTTGGCAGGTAGCATGCTCTATCAACACTTACTCTATGAACAGCGCTCTCCAACTCTGATATTTCCTGTTCCAGCTTTGATTTTTCTTCCTGCTGTATCTAACAACAGCAACAACAAGATTCAAACAGCTAGTTATTCACACTCTGAATGAATGTAATCACGGACTTGTACATGTTCACATCAACAGAAAAATCTCCAAGATGGCACTAACAAAATGGTCAGAATAAGATAGCCTGAAGTTGAACATCTGAAAATCCAGCATGCATGGGAAACAAAAGGAATACTGCCTGTACAATTTATGCTGTCAAACCTTGCTGGGAGAGGCAGCAAGAAGAGAAAGTGAAAGCAGGGCATCTGACTTAATCAGATCATGCATTTTTATTGAGAATGAAGGCTAGTATAGTATAGTAATTGGGATGTTGGATTGGGCATCCAAGTTAAAGCTGAAAACTTCACCAGATGGCCTTAAGTTAATAACTTTCTCTCAGCTAGGCTTACTCACAGCATTTCTATATGGGTAAAGCAGGAAAAAGAGAAACAAATGCACTGTCTTTTGTTCATGGAAGAGAAGACGGGATATAAAATGAAAGAAATATATATTTTTTTCTTTCACCAAACTTTGAGAAAGTTTGGTGAAAGAAATCTTAGCTGACGGTAAAGCTGTCTGTCATATATGGGAAACTGAATATCTGGTCCTTCTGAGCAAAATTGTGACAATTCTACCACAGGCCTAGAAAACAAGCTTTTTGACCACAGACACAGAAGTGAAGAGAGCCTATATCCAAGTGCATATTTTCATACACAAGAAATATTTCTTTGTTCTACTACAAATGTTTTATGGATGTTTCTTTTCTTTAATGGTTATATACTTCAGGAACCTGTGGTGAACTGGCATACAAATACAAGTAGCATATAGCAGCAGCGATAGTATTAGTACGATATGTCACTGAAATTTTACAGCAAACCTTTATAAAATGCTGACCTTTAATTTCTCTCTTAGTCCTTCTTTCTCTGCTACTACTCTTCTGAAATCAGCTAGTGCAATATTTCGTTCCTCTTCTGCATGGCTTTGAGTAAGAAAACAATTTTTTGTTTCTCTCCGCAGACGATTTAACTCTTCCTGAGACTGAAGGTACAAAATTAATATTCTGAAATAATATATACAAACCAGAAGAACACGTATAGAGGGATGAAAAATATAAGGGGTAAGTGTAAGTTATTCAAAGTGGAGGAGGAACAATTCCTTTTAGAATCATCTTAGGAAAAGGAAAGATGGGGAGCAAACTAAGCTTTGCCAGATCAGGAGGAATCTGAATAGACATTGACTTGTTTTGCTAATATGCCTCATTGTTGCACAGATCTGCCAATCTGCCTGCTCAACTTCAAGTCTACTTCCTACTTGTTTTAATGAGTGATTTGCATCTAGCACAGATTAGATTAATATTGCAGTAGTAACAATTTATATTAGTCATTTTATCCAGAAGTCTTTTCTCACACTGTTGCTGCCAATTCTAAGGCTAGCTTTGTAACTTTGTGAGTTACTACACTCGTTTTTAATATTGTGAATCATTATCATTTTGTTGATGATCTAGCACCATCATACACAAATTATTCTGTCTGTTAAGTTATATCAGAAGCCTATATCTAATAAATCTAATAAAATAAATATACACACACCTGTTCATAAAGAATGCTTAATTTGTCCCTTTCTGCAGTTAGCAGTTTAACATTAGACTGAATTTCTATCATGTGTTTTTCAAATCTATCTAGCATAGACTGCAGTTCATCTCGCTCTCTGGTAACCAACCTAAGATTATCACTCTGCAAAATAAAGACAAAAAAATTAATTTATATCAAATATTAAAGGACTACATTCCTATTTTCTGCAAAAGCAAGGGCAGCTTGTGTTGGCACAAAACAAAATAAATCTCATTCAACACAGTAAACAATAGTTCAGTCAGCTCATCTGACTGACTCATTCTTATGACAAATAAGTACTCTCGTGGTTACTAACAACCATTTCTAATCAGTAATGTTCAGTAAGAGTCAGTGTGGTGTAAGAGCTGATGTAGCTTAGTGGACTAAATTCAGGGGAACTGTGTCTATTCTTGCTCAGCTATTGAAAACTAAGTGGAAGATGGCAATGATAAAACACTCCTTGAACATCTCACATAATTCAAAACCCCTATTAAGGTTGCCATAAGTTGGAAATAACTGGACGGCACATTAACAAAGCAGGAGGCCACTCTTGTGTTTAATTATTCACATGAATAGGCACATGAGCACCAGGGATCCCATGCAAGCCATGAGGGGGGCTATGAAGGTAAGGTGGAGTACTCTGCACTTCTTTTAATCCCACCACTGAAACCACAGAAGTGGCTTTCCCATAGCAAAGTGGTCAGCTGCCAGAGGAGGGACAAGCATCTGTGTCTCTCCTCTGCCAGCCTTGAGCAGACTAACAGGCTTAGGCTGCTATAAACTACAGTGGTGCCTCGCTTAACGATGTTAATGGGTTCCAAAAAAACATCGTTATGGGAAAACATCGTTAAGCGAAACACCATTTCCCATAGGAATGCATTGAAAACCGGTTAATCCGTTCCAATGGGAACGGATTACCGTCCTTAAGCGAAAATCGCCATAGGAAACATCGCTAAGCGAAACAATGTTTCCCCCATTGGAATGCATTGAAGCCTATTCAATGCATCCCAATGGTTTTGCGATGTCCATTTTCGCTATTTTTAAAGTGTCTTAAAATGTTCAAAAATTGTTTTAAATGCTTGGGATCGTTAGTGCACCTTGTAAAACCTTTGCATTCCAATGGGGGAGAAAAAAATTCACCAAAAATTAACGAAGACTCAGAACAAAGCCAAATTAAGTCTGCAAATGTTTTACAAGGTGCATTAACGATCCCAAGCATTTAAAACAGTTTTTGAACATTTTAAGAGACTTTAGAAATAGCGCAAACATCGTTGAGCGAACATCACTATGCGAAATTTCCCCATAGGGAACATTGCTAAATGGAGCGCAAAATCACTCCAAAAACCTCATCTCTAAGCGAGTAGATTGTTAAACGAGGCAATCGCTAAGCGAGGCACCACTGTATTGTATCTTCTTAAGATTAATGCTAAGGACTGGCTGGACTAAAGTGTGAAAAGCTTTCATTTAATGACTGTAAACTGTCCAGACTAGTGAATCACAAATACCATGAAGAACTGCTTGTTACATTACTTTTACTGTAACCTTATATCTACTATTTAACCAAACAGTAAGCAGTTATGGATAAGTACGTTATTTGTAAACAGTTTGTTCTATTATATGAGAGTATTAAAAGTTCGTTCCAAGTTTAACATTACATGAGAGTATTAAAAAAAAGTTATATTTAACAAAGCAGGTGTTACCTTTTGTGTAGACTTGTGTAATGGGCTAGACTGTCCTCGAAGTATTTTTTTGAGACATTCTAGTTCTCTCTTATAGTAGTCCCTGTCTTCTTCTATAGTCTTTACAAATGCATCTAGGCGAGAAGGTGTCTTGTCTCCAAGTGCTATGCCACCCTCTAACCTCATTCTTTCCAGTTCTATAACAAGCTCTCGATCTGTAGAAAAAGGCAATTAATAAACATGAACAAAACTACCATTTATGAAAAGCAATCCAAAGTCAAAGAGAATTCTCGTAAGAGAATTCATTATGGAGGTGATAAAAAGTCAGACCTAAAAAACTTCAAAATCCCTTACAAGAACAAAAACAAACAAACATGACAATAAACATTTGAACACTTGGGATCAAACATGATTATTTTTAGTTTAAATTTATGCTTTTTATTCCACTGAAAGAATATACCAAAAGCACAATATATACCTGTTCATTTGCAATGCTGAAACAGAAGTATAAGAAAACTACAATTTAACAGTAACTTTTGCTCAGTGGAATTACATCCCATCTCCCCTGACACAATAAAAATGACTCAGAGTTGTATCAAGTCTGAAGTATCTGCTTTCATTTAATTCTAAGAATGGATGTTTGCTATCATATTTTGAGTCATGCGAATTACAACATAAGATCATCGCTCAGGATTCCCTCCATCTGCCATTAGTCTAAGGCAACTATGAGAATCAGAACGGGCTTTGCATAGATGTCTCTTAAAAATAACTGACCGGTCACTACTAAGAGTGGCCAAAAGCTACCAAATGCTTTTAAAGGACTGAAACAAATCCAGAAAGGGAAGATTTGCTCTTACATGGAAAATTATGCTCCTCAAAGACTTATGGGAGTATAATTTGTCATGGAGGATTCAGGGTACCTAGGAAGTTCCAGGAAAGGACAAAATGGCTCTCACATCCTTGGATATTGCCCAATACCATTTTGGTATTTATTGGTCCATGAAAGCTAAATACAGTGGTGCCTCGCTCAGCGATGTTAATTCGTTCTCAAAAAATCGCTAAGCGATTTCATCGCTAAGCGAAACGCGGTTTCCTATTGAAATGCATTGAAAACTGGATAATCTGTTCCAATAGGAACGAATTGCCATCCTTAAGTGAAAATTGCCATAGGAAACATCGCTAAGCGAAACACGGTTCCCCAATTGAAATGCATTGAAACCTATTCAATGCATCTCAATGGGGGGAAAATACAACAATAAATTAAAAAAGAGTCAGAACAAAGTCAAATTTGGTTAACAAAGGGTTTATTAAGTGTACTTTATGATTTCAAACATGTTAAACAGTAAACTCTAACTTTATAAATAACAGGAAAACATTTAAAAAACAGCAAACATGAGGCTGTTTAAACCATCGTTAAGCGAAACAGGGGACGCAAAATTGAATCGCTATGCGAAGCATGGTCCCAACCATCGCTAAGCGAAAATCACCCATAGGGACCATCATTAAACGAAGCACAAAAACACTCCGGAAAAGTCATCGCTAAGCTATTTCGTCGTCAAATGGAGCAATCGCTAAGCGAGGCACCACTGTATGCTTAAAGAGCTATTCAACCCAATCAATACTCAATTTAATGAGAAAGTGAAGAAACACTTTTCAGGCTTTTGAAAACAATCTGGTAGAAATGATGATCACTTTAGATGAGAGCAGCAAAATTAAATTACCTTGCTAAGTAAAAAAGTGGATAGAGCCAAACAATACATTTCAACAAAGTGCATATAGTGTGTTGCACACTGGGAAGAACAAAATATACAGTTTATCAGTGACTAGACAGGCACTCATTAAACAGGTTATGTCACTATTAAACTGATCAGTTGTATGGTGATGTGAGGAAGAAAAAAATGCCATTTTAAGTTATACTAACAAGAACCTCCCTTTGAAACCTTGGGAAGTAATAATAATGTTTAAATAAAAACTGTTAAGACTTAAATTGAGAATATTCTTTTCAGTATAGCATCACAGTCTCAGGAGGTTCAAAAAGTCTGAAAGCATTCAGAACATTATTCTACCTATAAGCAGTTCTATGATTGATTAAGATGTATATGCAAATGTTCTTCTTTGAGATTTTTTTAACAGACAAGTAGCTACAAGACATCTTCTCTTAGGGTTAGATCTGTCTCCAAAACCTGCCAGGTCTTCTAAATACATACCTATAATTTCAAGGTTTTCAACTTTTTTGGTCAGCCTTTGGTTCTCTAATTGAGCTTGGTTTAACAAGACCTCAATATTTTGTTTTTCATCTACTTTTTCAAGCAGTTCTTCTGTGAGCCTCTCTTTTTCTCTACGAAATGAAGATAACTCCTGAAATAACAATAATACTGCAAAATTCAAACTGGTGCTAAGTACATTGAAGATACATTATAGAAGCCAACATTTAAATACATCATGAAATTATTTCAATGTATATACACAATACATAATTAAATTCTAACCCTGCTCCAGACCAGTTAAATGTTTGATTTCCATGTTGGGAAGAGTAGAAAATTAGTTCCTTTGAATTCTACTTATTTGAGATAAAACTAATAATAGTCTCACCTAGAATGGAAACACTGAAGTCATTAGGACTTAAATTACTCAGGATTAAAAAACCCAGCTCCCTTCAGTGGCTGAAATGGGATGACATCACTAGTGGCAAATCACTGCTGACTGAAGCTTTTCATACTTACTGAAATTAGTTCATCACATAGTGTGCAAATCACATGCACCCCGAAATCATGTTTAATCAATGGCCATTTGCCACTAATGGTGACATTATCCTCAGTGTCCACACAGAATTGCACAGGATTTCAGTCCATGCACCTGTTCTGAATAGGACTGATGTCGGATTTAGCCTATTGCTTCTTGTTAAAATCATGAAATTTAAAGCCATCTTTTTCTCTGTGGAACTTGTGGGGAAACCACTGTTTGCTTTAAAAAAACTGTTGCTGTCAATGATATTCAAATGTGAGACCAGGAGCGAGAGAGAGGAGTCTCTCACTGGAGTGCCATCCTTCCCACAAAAAGCAGAAAGGGAGGTACAAACTTCACCCACTCCTGAGCCTAGAAGAACAGAACGGGGTACTGACACTCAGGACCTGGAAAGGGAATTGCGCGGGTTAACGGTGGCTGTTCAAACCCCGGATTAATTGGCGGGAACAGAAAGGAAAAAGAGGGTGGAGACTGAGGCAGGGACAGCAAAGATAAAAGGGAGAGAAGCCCCGTTACCCCAAGGTTGGGACTGGGTTTCGTTGCAAGACCCATGGACTGGAGAATGGGAACACCTCAGGGTGCCTAAAGAGGAGGTGGATTACCATCGCCGGAGAGAGATCCCTCCGAGACCCTCCTATTAGGGTGAGGCAGAAGCCCGAGAGTGGTGGAGGCGGTTGAGAGAGGAGAAGCAAAGGTGGAAAGAGAGAAAAGAGAGATTGGCATGGAGGGTTGAAGAGATGAGGATGAGGGGCCACCAGAGGGACCCTGGTCGACCTTTCCACCCACTAGAGACACCAGATGGACTGAACTCGACGAGGAGGAGACCATTCCCTTATTGGAAGGAGACAGACCAGAGAGGTTCTAAGTGAGGACGCGGCGACAGGCTGGCCAGGTCCCTGGAACAACAGTGTGACTAACCCCTCCCTCAATGACACATGGGTGCCTCATCAGACCCGTTGGTGACAGGAGAAAAGTTGTGGAATGACTTTATTGATGCTGATCTTTTGCTGAATGTTCCATTAAACCTTTCACCAGTTTCAAAGTTTTAAAAGACTTCTGATTTTTTTGTGGAGTCCAAAGGCTTGAAGTCCGAACCCTCATATTGAACAAAGCAACACAGTGTTTTCTTACCAAAGAACTTGCAGAGATACCACTTATTTTAATCACACATATTTGTGATTTACATTTTTAAACCCACAACTGCAACATAAATAAGCTACATGTGTTATATTTCTGTGTTTAAAAAACCCAAGAGATTAGTATAAAAGTGGCATTACTACCAAGATATGGGGCCGGACAGTCCACTCACCAATCCACTGCGGACGATGCGATTCTATGAATGGCTCCGCAGCGCGTGATCTGCTCGCCACACCTGGCAGGAGGCGGGAGGACAAGCCTTGCTGCAAGGTTGAAGAGTGGTGAGCGGATTGTAGAATTGCACTGTCCGCAGCGCACTGGTGAGTGGACTGTCCGGCCCCATGGGGCAGGATCCTCGTTAACACCACCTGTGCGGGGATATTCAGATACGAATACTCCCATCTCATGACCAGAGTTTGATCCCACACTCAATCTACCATTCTTCCAAGGTCGGTAAGTACCCAGCAGAAATAAATAAAATAAAATAAAATAAAATAAAATAAATAAAGGTTGGTAAACTGAGTACCCAGCTTGTGGGGTAGGGGGTAGCTGCAAAGTGGAGCATGCATAATTTAAACTGTAAACCTCCCAGAAAGTGCTTTAAACACTATAGCGTGGTATATAAGCAGCACACTTTGCTAATACATTCAGTTTAAAAGGTCAAAAAATTTAAAATACAGAATTAAATAAACTGAATTCTCTTCAATACATAGTTTTACTTACTGACTTAAGTCTTGCTATAGTTTCTTCACGATCCTGGATTTCATTGTATTTTTTTTTAATTTCTTCCTATAAATAAGTAATAAATATTTCAAATGCTAAGGGTTATCATAAACATGTCACTAATAGACACTCACAGTACAAACTTATTTGTATGCCTACATTTATTTATTTACTTATATTATTTGTAGGTTGCCTTCCCCCAGTGAAAAAAATATGCAATTATTTGTAGAGTTGGCAGCAAGGCAGATTTGATTTAAATAAAGATGATTTAAATCACAATTTAATAATGATTTACAATTTAAAAACCAGAATTTTAAATTCTGAATTTTAATTTTTAAAAAATTTAAATCATGTTTTAATCATGATTTAAATCATGGTTTAAATCAATTTGATTTTTAAAAAATTGATTTTTATCCACCTTTGCTGGCAGTAATGTCTCAAATTAGATGTTAAATCAATCTATTATGAAACTTAGTATTACTGCCAACTATTCTTTCTTAAATTTCTGTTCACATAAGCTATGCAAGAGAAGCAAGAAAAGACTGAACTATCTAGAAGTTATGTATACAACATAAAATGAACTGAAGTAGCAAAAGGGACTGCCAAGAATCAGAAAGCCACAGACTGGAATGCACTTCTGCTTGATTTCCCATGGCTCCACGCAGGCCACTCTTAGTCCCAGGTTTCATTGGTAATGTGGAATAATCTCATCAATTTTACAGAGATTTATATGAAAACAAAACAATATATGTACTTTAAATTTTAAAAAGGATCACCATAAGATACAGCAAAAGCTTCTCCAATTAAATAGGGAGATTTTCCTCAGTTCTCTTTACTTTTCAGATCTGAGCTTCATGTGGGCACTGCCTCGTCAGAGAAAGAAGGAAATCACTGTAAACAGAATACATTTTCAAACATCTTTGAAAGAGACTCAAGAGTACACTATGAAAACAGATGGAACTGGGAGGAATTGAACAACTACCAAAGTGTCTAATGGCCAAAGGAATACCAGCTGTTCAGCAAGGCCCAGATACAGCCACTGATACCCTCTGCAGAAATGAAGATATCAGCTGATGCACCCAAAATGGTTTTCCAGCAGTTTCAGAGCATGCCTTAAACTAATTATTTTTACAAGGTAAAAATTGCTCTACTCCAGAACTGATCCTTCACCTAAACAGAACAATCCAACTTAAGAACAGCTCCATTTGCTAAATTTTGCTTCTACTTGAGAACAGAAATCCAAGATAAGAACAGGAAAAAAAACCTTTCCTGCTCTTTTTTTAACCTTAGGTCATCTTAGGTTAAAAAAAATTCTCCCCCTAGTGGTAGAGTACGTATTAACCAGCTTTGCATTAGTTCCTATGGGAACTAATGCTTCAATGTACGAACGCACCTCTACATAACAAAAAAACAGCCAGAACGGATTAATTGGTTTTCAGTCCATTGCTTCAAAATTAGCTTCGTCAGAAGTGCTTTTAACACTGTTCCCTGACCTAAGAAAAAAAGACAAAATATCCCCCTCTAGTGGCAGAAGGCGGGATAGCAGCTTCCCATTAGTTTCTATGGACGGAAAAGAGCAGATACGGATTAAATGGTTTTCAATGCATTCCTGTGGGAAATGCAGATTCTACATAAGAACTTTTCCACTTGAGAACCACCTTCCAATACGGATTAAGTTCTTAAGTAGAGACCCCACTGTATTCCAGAACTGATCCTTCACCTAAATGTCTAGAGGCTGTTATTAACATTATAAAAATAAATATAATCTATCCAGTGTAGGCACAGTACTAAACAATGAATCTACACTTCACTCTTCAACAATGCTGGGCTTGGGGCGCTAGGCCTCCATGTAGTTCAAAATCCATATATAACTCTTATGCCCCCCAAAAGATAACTACAAAACAGAAACAACTAATTCGCACATTCACACACACACACAGGGAGAGAACAGTTGTCTCTATTGGGGTTTTCTTCCAAAGCACTGACAATTGTTTCCATACTTTACTGAGTGTAATGGACCTTAAAGGTTCTTATTAACCCTCAGCCCCTGATCTAGAGGCTGAATTAGAAATGTTGTTTGGGTGCAAGCAGAACACTTGGACGCCTTCAGTGCGCCCTGATCTAGAGGCTGAATTAGAAATGTTTGGGTGCAAGCAGAACACTTGGATGCCTTCAGTGCTAAACTCATGGGGTTCTGGGTGGCCAGGAGCACAGTACTTATTGAACATTTATTTCCTGAATATTTATTTACCGTATTTGCTGGTGTACAAGATGACTTTTTGGGACCAAAAAACATGCCTCCAAGTGGGGGTGTCGTCTTGTACGCCGGGTACACTTCATTTGGGCCAGTAAGGAGACACCACCGAGTGAGTGACGCGGGTCCGTGCTGGCCAGGGAGGAAGGCAGGCGGGCAGGCAGGCATTCGGTCTGGATGGAGGGAGGGAAATCTCACTGCTGAGCCAGCGCGCTCACTCGCCTGCCACCCGCCCGCTTTCCCTCTTCTTCTTCCTCCTCCTCCTGCCGCCACCGGCTCAGCCTCTTACCCTCTTCCTCGCCCTCTCGCTGCCATGCCTGAGCAGGCAGAGCCCATTGCTGGGCTGCCCACCGCCCCGCGCCGCTGAGCCAGCAGCGCGCTCGCTCACCCGCCACCCTCCCGCTTCCCCTCGTCCTCCTCCTCCTCCTGCTGCCGCCCGCCCAGCCTCTTCCTTGCCCTCCTCCCCGCTGGCCATGAATTTCCAGGGCGGGCCCAGGCAGAGCCCCGGGCAGCCGGCGCAACATGTTGGGGGGTCGCCTTGTACGCCAGCAAATACGGCATTTGGAAAAAATCAGTGTATAACCAAAACCGTGTTATTCAGACCCATGCAATTTAAGGGAGAAGTGTAGTCCTATTTGAACTATTGTGTGCCATCAAGTTGACTTCTGGCGATCCTAATAGGGTTTTTAAGGCATGTATTATGTTTAAGAGTTGATTTATCCTTGCCATCCTACCATCTTATTCCATGATCGAATGGGGATTTGAACCCAAGTTTCCTTAGTCCTAATCTGGTACACTATCCACTGTATCCCACTAGCTCTCATATGTATTATCAGGCCTGTAACAGATTACACTCACAATATTTTTTATATGGAGATAGAATATATTCTTGATGTTTTACCAAGCTACAGAACTTCCTTACCTTAGCCTCTCCAATTTCTTTATCAGCAGTCTCAAGAACAATTTCTTTATGCCTTTCCAACTGTCGGGCCAAATTATCTATTTCACTCAGTTCTTGGCAGAGTTCTTCATTTTTGTTACTTAAATGCACCACCTCACTAGTCACATTTTGCCTGCTGTCCAAAAGATCTTGTATGCGCATTTCAAGCTCTTTCTTTGTCTGCTGTAAAAACTCAACCTAAAAAGGATATTCACACCATGCATTATGATTCAAATTAATAAACCTGTAGGAGCATTACTATAATTGGGAAAAATCAGTCATTTGTTCTCAAATAATTACTATAATTTTGGTTAGAATATAATAAAAATTAACACAAAAATCCATCAGTGTCCAAAAGCTATTGTTATTCACAACACTTATTTCTCACACATGTAGTGGAAGTAAGCTGAAAACTGACATTGATGTTGTTGCCAACAATGCACTGTTCAGTTAATGTGCTGTGAGAAAATATCCATAAAAAGATACATAAAATAAACACAGAAATGGGCATGGGCTCTATTTTTTGGATGCATCGAAGTGAAATGGGGTGGAGAAATTGCAGTAAAGACGTTCTTATTTTTGTTAAAAGAGATTCTACTGTGTATGAGACTTACTGTTCAACTTTAAAAAATCCATTCCCTTATCATTTATTTATTCAAAATTACCAGATACAGTCAATCAAAAGTATAGAAACACTGACTGGCATCATATAAAAGATACAAGTTTTAACCAAAAACCTTGGAACAGTATATATGCTGTTTGTAATATTGCTGTTTTTGTAGCTCTGATTGTGTTATTTCTGAGATCTCCAACTGCTTATAATACTTTGTGAAATTTCTTGATATTGTTTTCAAAGCCCTGATGACTATGGGGACCACTGAAGTGTTTTTCTTCCAGAGGCAAGATGTTTTGATTGCCAGGTGTCTGTATTTTGTTAGTTTTTCCTATTCTTTTATTTTTAACTCTGGCATCCCCAAGAATTGCAATGTCAATGATCCAGACATTTCTTTGTTCTATCACTACTATGTCTGGTGTCACATAAAACAATAAAAAGCAAGATGGCGGAATTGGTGACTTAGGAGCTGAAAGCATATCTGTGCTCTGTTGCTGCAATATCTTGAAATGGCTATCTAAATAGCCATGTTTTGAAAGGTATCTCAAAAGTCCCCAGTGAAGGGCCCAGGTGAATCTTGGGTGGCAGTTTATTCCAAAGATGTGGTGCAGCTGCTGAGAAGGCCCAATTCCTGGTCTTCTCTTTTCAGGCCTCTCTCCGGGTCAATGGCCTTAACTTTCAGCCTGGGTTGATTGAGTAGTTTTGGCAGATCTCACTGGAAGAAGGCATTACGGTCTTGTATGTCAATGTCATAACCTTGAAGCTGGCATGGAAATGAACCGGTAGCCAATGCAAGGCAGCCAGAATGGGGAAGATATGATGGTATTTATTTACTACACTCAACAGTCTGCCCATCATATTTGGGACCTGTTGACGTTTCTGTAGCAACCTCATGAGCAGCTCTGCATAAAGAACATTACAGTAGTCTAATCTTGAGACTAACAGTGTACAGTTCAGAGTGGTGAGGGAACCTGGTGTCAAGGTAGGAATGCAGTTAGGTAATCCCCCTAAGATGGAAATAGGTGGAATTGACCACAGATACTATCTAGGGCTCCGCTGTTAGAGCTGGGTCCAAGTGTACACCCAGACTGTGAATCTTATCCTTGGCAGAGACAGTAACCCTGCCTCAAAAAGAGAAGGAAGCACCCAAACTGCAGACACAAGGGGCACCCACCCACAGGACCCCTGTCTTGTCTGGGATCAACCAACGTAAAAAAAACCTACAAAGAAAACCAGGGCTCTGAAAGCAGCTGTCTTGTACATGAATAAACAACTACCTTAGATCGCAGTTGTGGGGTATCTAATTAGATAATACTCAGATTGTGGCACATCACAAAAAGCTTTTTCTGGTTAAGTAATATTTCAAATGATTCTTAGTGCAGAAATTGAATGAGACTCAAGCATGTTACCTGTAAATTTAAGTGGGCAATAATTTTATCGTTACTTCTGTTTTTTGCTTCCAGAGATATGACATCATGAGAGCGACCACCATCCAGTGCTAATGTTAAGCGCTCAATCTCCTGATCACGGAGCTCGACCTTAGGATGAAATCAAAATTCTTATGTCAGTTATAAATATATATTTATGTTTCTACATGTCTTCTTCATTTAGCAAAGCAAAATATAGAGATGTGCATCTTATTTCTTCCCACTGTTGTCCTACTGAACTCCTGTTTGTCTTGTGGCATCTAATGATCAATTGTATGTTATCAGAGCACGTGTGGAAGCTTGGAAGCAAGCCCTTCTGCAAGTATTCTAAGGGCCTCTGAAAATTCAAAGACACACATGCCAACCCAATTCAGGTGTAATGAGGTGGGGAGAAAAAGTTGAATTTTATGCTCATCTCATTAGCCAAAAGCAAGATGTTGAGATATGGAAAAGCAAACCATATTTCCTGGGGGAAATGCAATTATTTATATACCTTTTTCAACAGCCGAAGAACTCTAGCTGCCTAGAGTGGTCCTGACACGACCAGATAGGCGGGATATAAATAAAATAAATAAAAAATAACAAACTTATGGATTACAGAAACAAAAGAGAGAAGTATACCTGTTTGCTGTAATTTTTCATTCCACGTTCAGCTATCTCTAGCTTCTCTTGCAAGTCAGACACTTCCAGCTGCAGTTCATGAATTCTGAAATATTTTATTTGAACAGTTTCATCCACGAACTCTATACTGACAAACATATTTTTCCTTAAGGAATTCTACAGTGAGGAACTCGTTTTCCTCAGACAATTTTCTCTTTTCTATTTGTTCTATAAAAAACCCAAATTAGTCAAAAGATAGTAAATTGCTTTCATTAGTATAAGAACTACGTAAGAAAAGTCTATATATATTCATACATTATATTCATTTATAAAACATGTATACTATATAAAACATATATGGTATTCATTAAATAAAATGCATTATTTCCCTTAAAATGTTAATATAAGAAGTTACTTACCTGTAACTCTGGTTCTTCGAACATTCCTCTGTGAATGCACACTAATGGGTTATTCTGCGCCTGAGCAGGAAAAGTCGGAAGCTTCTATAGCTTTAAGAGCTCTGTGCTGCGGGACCTGCCACGGAGATTACATCACCATCCCGGCAGTGAGCACGCCAGTTTCGTAGAACTGACACCGCTGTGTGTGCCAACCATAGAGAGTCAGGATGTACAGTAGGGAGGTGGATGGGTCGTGTGAATTCACAGAGGACTGTTTGAAGAACCAGAGTTACAGGAAAGTAACCTCTTTTCTCCTTCACGTTCTCTGTGAATGCACACTAATAGGTGATTAGCAAGCTGACTTACTTGGAGGTGGGCATCACGACAGGACAGAAGCCAGAACAGCTCGACCAACAGCAGCCTCTGCTTTGGCTGGAGCATAGAGGCGATAGTGGGCTGCAGAGGTGAAGGGTGTAGAGCATGTAGCAGCTTTGCAGATATCAGTGAGGTCGACACCACGAAGAAACGCCGTGGATGAGGCCATGGCTCTGGTAGAGTGGGCTCTGACAGTAGCGGGTAGAGGCTTATGAGCAATTTCATAAGCAAGTTTGATGGTGGACACCACCCATCTGGAGAGGGTTTGAGAGGAGATCGGAGAACGCATGGAACATTCTAGAAAAGACACAAACAGCCTTGGAGAGGTATGAAAGGACGCTGTGCGGGAAATGTAGTAAGCTAAAGCCCGCTTGACATCCAGAGAATGGAGTGCTTTCTCGATGTTAGTCATAGGTTTCAGAAAGAATGTGGGCAAGACTATCGGCTGGTTCATGTGGAAGGAGGTAGCTACCTTCAGAAGAAAGGAGATATCTGGAAAAAGGGTGACCTTGTCCGGATGAAATTGTATGAAAGGCGGGTCCATCCGGAGCACCGTAAGCTCACTCGCCCTCCTCCTCGAAGTGACAGCCAGAAGGAAAGCCGTCTTGAAGGTAAGTAGCCGCAGAGACATAGAAGCTAGCGGTTCAAAAGGTGGAGACATCAATTTACACAATACAAGCTGAAGGGCCCACTGGGGAGTGGCCGGCTTGTAAGCTGGGGCATATTGCAGAGACCCTTGAGAAACCTTTTCAGTACAGGGTGCCGGAATAACTTTGCTGCATCCGAGAGGGGAGGCTGATATGCAACAATGGCAGAGATGCAAACTTTCAAAGTGGATTGAGACAAGCCACGGTGAAAGAGAAGGTGAAATTGAAGGAGTGTGTCCAAAGTGGTGGGGCATGCAGACACACCACGTTCCTCTGCAAAGACACAGAAAGATTTCCACTTTGGGTATAGGTAGCCAGTGTAGAGGGCCGGCGAGCCTGGTTCAACACGTCCTCTATCAAAGGTCCAGTCTCCAGGCCGTGAGATATCTGCAAAGACACAGAAAGATTTCCACTTTCAGGCATAGGTAGCCAGTGTAGAGGGCTAGCAAGCCTGGTTCAACACGTCCTCTATTGAAGGTCCAGTCTCCAGGCCGTGAGATGAAGAGATTCCAGGTCTGGATGGAAGGTCCTGCCCTCGTGGAGGGAGAGAAGATGTGGAAGGTTGGGGAGTCGGAAGTGATCTGACGCCATCTGTAGCAGAGGAGCGAACCAGGGTTGTAGAGGCCACCAGGGAGCGATGAAGATCACCTTGGCCCGATCATGACGGATCTTCATTACTGCCTTCTGTATCAGGGGGATTGGAGGAAACGTGTGCACGCGTCCGCTTGTCCATGATACCATGAATGCATCCCCCTCCGAGTGGCATCCAACACCCACTCAGCAGCAGTACCTGTCGCACTTGGTATTCGCAGAAGAGGCAAATAGATCCAGGCACAGAAAACCCCACCTGTGGCAGATGGATGAGAAAACCGCCTTGTCCAGGGCCTATTCGTGAGAAGAGTTTGGGGACCTGCTGAGACGATCCATTAAGATGCTGACGCCACATGTACTGCTATCAGGAATATGTGGCGGTTGTAGCACCAGTCCCAGATTTGAGTGGTGAGGTGGAGCAATTGGCGCGAGCGAGTGCCACCCTGCTTGTTCAGGTAGAACACAACAGTGGTGTTGTCTAACGTCACCTGCACGGCCCTGAGAGCAGGCGCTCAAATGCCCTGAAAGCTTAAGTGCCACCCTGCTTGTTCAGGTAGAACACGACAGTGGTGTTGTCTAATGTCACCTGCACCGCCCTTCCTGAGAGCAGGCGCTCGAATGCCGAGAGCTTTGAAGACTGCCAGAAATTCCAGGGCATTGATGTGCAGGGAATCGTCCTGCGGAGTCCAATGGCCATTGGCTGTGAGGTCCAGGCAGTGCGCCTCCCAGCCTGAGAGACTCGCATCTGTGGTGAGCTGGATCGATGGCTGCAGAGGGCCAAAGGGCCGGCCCACGAGCAGATTCGAGCGGAGTGACCACCAGGTGAGTTGCTCTGCCAACTCTTGTGTTACCGTGAGCAACTTTGAAGGTGGATCTACGAGCAGAGCGGGAGAGAGAAACTCCAACTGTGCTGACATAGCGGCGGCAGGAAACAGAATTGGCGTGCTCAGTGCCAGGGTGGTGATGTAATCTCCATGGGCAGTCCCCCGGCACAGAGCTCTTAAAGCTATAGAAGCTTCCGACTTTTCCTGCTCAGGCGCAGAATAACCCATTAGTGTGCATTCACAGAGGATGTGAAGGAGAACTCATATTTATTTATTTTTCCTATATTGACACTCAAGGTGGTTTATACACAACTAAAAAAATTAAGATAATTATAAATAAGGTATTCTATAAAAGAACTATGCATATTAGATTTTTAAATAATCTAAATAAAATCTCCTTTTTTCCCTCCAATTTAAAAACACATTTTAAAATCCTACAGCACAATCCTATAGCCCCCAGGAGCACTTCTAATGGCATAACAAAATTTTGTGCACTTCCCTCCTCTGAGAGGTCTGTAGCTGGAGAAGAATCTCTGCAGCCCGAGTTGTCTTCATTGTCATAGCACAGAACTCTAGTATCATTACCTGTCTACCATTAATGCTTTCACAGCTGAGGGGTGAAATACTGGGGTAAGACTGAAGTACGACTGAGATCCATCCATAAAAAAAACCCATCCTTTGTGTAGCATATGTCCCTTTTCTGGCTAATGCATACTCAGCAGGACTTGAATGAGGTGGTTTCTCCACCACAGGCTCTCCCGGCCCACCCATACTATAGGTGTTACTATTACAGAAGGAAATAGGCAAAGCAATTTTAAAACAGAGTAGTTTTTCAAAAACATTTTCTATCTGAAATGGAGTGAGGGGAGGGGAATCTAGGACTGGAACCAACACTGTCCGATAATCAGGGATAGGAAACATGTGGCCTTGCAGATACTGTTGGACTGCAGTTCCAAACATATCTCACCACTGGTGATGCTAACTAGGTCTGAGTGCAGTTCCAGTTCAATAAGCAGTATTCCATGTTCTCCACTTTTATGTGTTGAGTGCCTGAAGTAACATTACCAGCACTTTAATATTTTAAGAGATATATTAATCACCTATTGTCAGCCACTTGAAGAAGATCAGCAATATATGGGTCATCTGGCTGTGGAACTGGATAAGTGCCAACCCCAGAGGGAGGGACAGGTTGATCTATCTGCATACGCTGACGCCTGAATGGAATATTTCTTTTTCTGCCACCTACAAAGATAAATGTGTGTAACTTCAAAATCAGAGTACCATGCTTTCATACATACAGAGAACAAGAGCACATCTGAAATGAAACTTTTATTCAAAGCAGGTTACAACTTAAAATATACAGCCCAAACCATCCAATTTAACACACAAAAACGAAAAATGAAACGAATAATTGTCATAATGATTTTGTTGTCGTCGTTTAGTCATTAAGTTGTGTCTGACTCTTTGTGACCCCATGATACAGAGCCAGAATGATAACCATTACTCAAAGCTCAGCAAGTTAAATATTAGTAACTTGCCTGAAAACTATAAGAGAAGTTGCCAAATAAACCTTTTTAGGAAAGAAGTTATAGAACCTGGATATGGCAACAGATATTCATTTAGCTGCTCTGGTTATAGTGTTTTTGAATTAGACATTTGGGCTGCTCTCTTGCTCTTAATTATGCACCAGTCTCAATAAAACTGAAGACACCTATGCACCAATGATCAGATGCAGAATTTTAAATGTTAGAGGACAGGTAGTAGTTTAGTGTGCAGTGTGGTGTGGTACCTCAGTGTGCTGTAGCAGATAGGCTGATGGACTAAGACTCAGGAGTTGTGGATTCAAATCCTTCAACCTACTCAGCCACAGAAGCTCAGCAAGGGGTGTCAGTGGTAAAACCACTCCTTAAATATCTCACACACCTTGAAAATTCTATTAGGATGGCTATAAGAGCGTGCAACCTGGTAGCATGCAACAAAACAGCAGTTTTGAAAGACAAGCAGATAATCTGGTGTCATACCTGGAGTCTGAACTACAGCCTGAAGATTCTTCTCTTGGAGTTGTTGGATCTTGTCAGTCTTAGCTTTGTTTTCTTTCTCTAATGATCTCATTTTATGTATATACTGATTATTCAGAAACTTCATGTCTGCATTCTCATGTTCAACTCTCCTCAGTGTAGCTTTCAGATCTTCAAGGAGAGGAAAGAACAAGATTCATCAGTACTCTTCATCTCTATCTTAACTTTAAGATGCTAATAAAAAAGACCATTTCAAAAAAATTATTTCTTTTTATCTACAAGCATATACAGACTGCCCCCTTTCCCAGTTTGCCCGTGTGCACAATTTAGAAATATACCAAATTGTTTCTGGTATCATTGCACTATAAAAACGTACCTATATCTTGAAGTGATGTGACTGAAAAAGACATACAATAAGTGTTGATCTGAGACTATAGTCTTGTGGATAATCTTCAAGTGGAAAGAAATATTATACAGAGCAGACTTCCGAAGCTGTAACATATTCTTTAACTATTCTCACAAGCGTTAAGCATAGCTTCTCAGGACTGACACTTCACTGTTATGGTTTAAGATACAACAAAATATTTCTTTTATGGCACAACACAGTTTTATTCCAGCTCCCGAATTTTACAATTCGGATACATTATACAGGTCCATAAAATCTGTGTGTTTGTCTGTGCTGCACCTATTTATAGTTACAGAAAGAACATGGAATTGTCTATCAAATCATACTGAGTTTCATCTGCTTACCAAAATTTCATCATAGCTCATTCACGTACAGACTTGATGAAAAAAGACAGCCCTATCTGTAGCTTTCTTGAATCTTAACAAATCATAAACCTGGTGGTTAAGAGTTCCTTACTAAGAAAACTAACAGTTTGACCACACCATTTTTGTTATCAAGGCTTGATTGGAAAGACATAGTATCATTGCCATGTTGTTCTTGCTGTGTCGTCAAGTCAGAAGTGACTTACAGTGATCTTTAATAGGGCTTTCAAGGTAAGTGAGATATTTAAGACGTTTAAGGAGTGGATTTACTGGTTCCACATCCCCAATGAGTTTCCATGGTTGAGCAGGGATTCAAACCCATGCCTCCTGAGTCCTAGTCTATCGTTCTATTCACTAAACACAGAGTATCACTGCCATATCCAACTGAAAATTCACATTCAGTTAACATTTGTTCTTTAGTTTTTCTGTGTTTTTAATTTAGACCATATAAAATCATGTAAGACAACTGTTTATAAAGAGCTGCAAGATAGTAATTTGTGTTTTAAAAAGTTGAGTAGTTGTCCAAATTGCAGATCACTACCATGACAGCCATGGTATAGTGGACAAAATGTCAGAAGATGACTCAGGAGACCTGGGTGCAAATCTCCAAACAGCCATGAAAAACTCAGTGGCAGGTGTCCATGGTAAACTACTCCTTGAACATCTCACATATCTCAAAAACCCTATTAGCACTGCAGTAAGTCAGAAGCTACTTGACAGCATGGGGTATGAAAAAATAGATTAGGATGATTGCAGAACCCCCTATATCTGCTGGAGATCAGTTCCAAACCACCCTATGGACACTGAAAAATATGAACTAGAATAAATGCTATTTTAATAGCAAATGCTATGTTTTTCCAAAAATAAGACCTAACCTGAAAATAAGCCCTAGCATTATTTTTCAGGATGCTAAGCCCTACCCCCAAAATAAGCTGCAGTTAAGTGAAACCCTGCCGTCCACCATTGTGCAGCAACCAGAAGAAGATATGACTGTATTTGAATAAATGTTGATTATTGTACATGAAAAAATAAAACATCCCCTGAAAATAAACCCTAATGTGGCTTTTGAAGCAAAAATTAATATAAGACCCTGACTTTTTTTGGGGAAACATGGCACATGGCATGAGACCCTGACTTATTTTTGGGGAAACATGGCACATAGCATGGTCCTTGGCTCCTTCAAGTGGTCAGTTCTGGTAACTTCATTATTAGAAATATATATTTTTGCAATATTTCTGTTAATATTAATATTTTCAGACCATGGATAAATGAATCGGTGGATACTGATCCTGAGGATATGGGGATCCTACTGTACTGTGCTAAAATACTGAATTCTATAGGTGTGTGTACATTTATAATGTATTACTGCACAAGCAAGTTTCGAAACATAGTGAATGTTGAATACATATAACTACTTAGACTTGCAATCTGCCACTTCTTCCATTAGCTGACACCAATATATGTATTTATTTAAAATATTTTAACCCACCTTTCTCTTAAAGGACCCAAGGCAGCTTACAACAATTAAAAGACAGTATTTAAGCTAATAACCATGTGTATACAATACGAAAAGGATCAATGAATACAATTCCAAAAACCATAGGCAAGATCAAAACACATTTAATGTAAAAAGGTGCAACAATCTGTTTTAAAAACCCCACTTGGATGCCATTCACTCAGGGAAGGCTTGCCTGAAGAGAAAGGTCTTTGCCAGCTATATGCCACCTATTTTCCCTCCTTGAGATTGAAACATGGGAAGAGGCAAAGAGAAATCACTACTGACTTACTGCTGGGCTGTGAGCTTTTAAAAAGATCAGAGAAACAACTTTGTTTGATCAGGGGCAATTAAATTTTTTGATATGCTGCATGTACAACCAATAAAAACGTGTGGTTCCCAATGTAAAAGCAGTCAACACTACATTTTTCATACTACCTTTGACGCGTTGTTCCAATTGCTCTTTCAGTTTCAAAACTTCTAAATGTAGTTCATTATTTTCACGGGTAAGCCTAGCATTTTCTTCTCGGTAAGGTTCCAAAACAACATCAAAGTTGCTGAAGTCTTTTTCAATTTTCCCAGCAGAAAGCTTTGTACTCCGGAGGCTCTCTGTTGTATGAACAAGATCACTGGAATCCAAGGATGCAAATTGACAGGTTTCAGAGATGAAGCTTACAAAAGCAAAAACTACAATTTCCCATAAATGCCCTGCTTCAAGCACCCCAACCCAGAATGAATGCCCACAAATTCTGGCTTGGTCTCTTAGCCAAGCATAATTACAGTTAGTACTGATTCCCCCTTTTGCAAATCCTCTCTATACAAGGGAATGACCCATGACATCAAATTCATCTTGAAGGTAGGCACTAACAGCATACTCCTCAGTACTCTGGAATCCAAGGATGCAAATTGACAGGTTTCAGAGATGAAGCTTACAAAAGCAAAAACTACAATTTCCCATAAATGCCCTGCTTCAAGCACCCCAACCCAGAATGAATGCCCACAAATTCTGGCTTGGTCTCTTAGCCAAGCATAATTACAGTTAGTACTGATTCCCCCTTTTGCAAATCCTCTCTATACAAGGGAATGACCCATGACATCAAATTCATCTTGAAGGTAGGCACTAACAGCATATAAATATCTCCCCACTCCTCAGTACCCATCTTGCTAAGCTAGGGGCCATCATCCAAGAGTGAATTTTACTTATCCTATTATGTTGTGTTTTGCCTAGAGACTCTACAGACTGGTTATGACAAATTCTAGTTGGCCTGTTAAGATATCAATAATTCAAAATAATTTTCTTTATTTTTAAAAAAAACTCCAAATGCATCTGCATAGTGCAACTATGAAGAATCATCTGATCTAATCTACAGTCTATTAATAAATGGAAAAAATTGACAAATCCCAGTAATAAATTATACAAAACTATTGTTGTGTGGTGTGAACTGAATATTTGCCCTAGAATGGCCTGCAATACTCAGGAGTTCCATGACAGACACACAAAGGCTTATCTCTTGACAAAGTCAACAAAGAGAGGCCTTCCTTAGAGGGGTAAGTTGGAGTTTTAGTTTAAGGACTTTATCTAAGTGGTTTAGAGTTTAGGAGTTCGATTCCCCACTGTGCCTCCTTGACAAAGCCTTGACTCAGCAAGCCATATGTTCCCTTCCAGCTCTGCAGTTCTAAAACAATGATTCTCCCTAGTCTGCCCAAATATATCCTAAAAATTAGTTAAAACTGATTGGTCTATTTTCTTCCTTTTAAAGCTGAATGTTCCATCTACTTTCTTCTTTCCTTCCTGTAATCATTCAAAATCAAAGCAAAGTCAGACTCAAAATCAGTGCATAGGTGTTAGGCAGACAAGGGGGAGACAGATAGCATGCAGTTTGCAGCTGCTGCAGACCATACATCCTACTCTTGCATGAAACCAAAATCTGTCTTTCAATTATGTATGCTACATAACAGCATGCAAACTTGTTTTTCTGGTTGAATAATGGACTTGTTCTAATGGCTAGTACATTTCATACAGTATACTTTATTTATTTCATTTATTTATTCGATTTTTACCCTGCCCCTCTAGACAACATCTACTCGGGGTGGCTACTTTAATTCTCTACTATCGAAAGAATGGGTATGTCAAGATTTTTATAACCACAGAGCTCAGTCCTCCATTCCAAAGTATTTGTGTGTGCAGTTAATGTTATCCATGCTTTTAAAAACATAAAAAATAATGTATAGCAATATTTGAAATCTCCTGAATTGTGCATTAACATAATTATGTGAAATGCTTAGATGAAATCATGTAAAAACATTTTACTTCCACTAAGATTAACAGTTAAGTAGTTCACATCAATCCAAGACTGTTTAGCATTTTTGGTTGTTCCATTTTGTTTATATACCTAAAAAGCTTTTCCACTAAAGGTAAACTTTCTACTCCTAGAGGTTGTCGATATCCTAGCTGATCCAATCGCTTCCTTAGATTAATGAACTTTCGCTCTGCAGCTGTACTCATTGTGAAGGTATTACAAAATAATCTGGGTCCTTTAAACCAGGATCTACAGATAATTAAAAAAACACACATGTTAGTATGACAAATATGCAAAATCAAACCCTTTACATTCCAGTACTTAAGCAAGCCATACTGAAGATGAATGTTGTAATTTAGCAGCTCATACATATTTTTTAATCAGGAAAAGAGTGACATGGTCATATTGGTACAAGCTGGAAACTTCCTGACATATCAGATTCTAAAATTAACAACAGATTGGATTCCTAAATCAAATGCAAACAGGGAACCTCATCTGGGGTAGCTAAGCAAACACACTGCTGTATTAAGGACAACTCCGTGTTTGGAAAAACACAAAAAGAAGATACTGTACTGAAACCGGCACAGACAGAAGATTTTGCAAACACAGGTTCAAATCTCTACCGAGTTAGGAAGCTGAGATACTTTGTCAGTCATTTTCTTTTCACCATCCTCATAAGGTTCTTTGTGTGGAGAAGAGTGAAGAGAAGTGACACCATCTTCTAGACTTTAAATCATCTTATGTGATTTAAAAACACACAACAGTTCTTATAGGAAGAGCTATTTTCTTGCTCAGAAACGGTGGCTTTCTAGAAGGGGACTCTAAGGAAGCACCAGAGGCAGAATGACGTCGGGAAACCAGTGGTGCCACCAACGCAGGACTCAAAGGGCAGCAGGCCTTGAAGGCTCCCCTCCGGAGGAAGGATAAGGCCAAATAAAGCACAATTTGCTCGTCACATGTGGATGGAAGCGAAGTGTCATACTTTACCAAGAACAGGCGGGAAGGGCGTCAGACTGCTAAATCCGGAG